CATATATATTTTTTGTTTTCTTTTCCCCATATATTACAACAATAATCAAAAATAGGAAGAAGGTATGCATTATAAAAAAGCATACGAGATTCCTCATTTAAAAAGTACTTTATACGCCTAAATAAATTAACTTTAGAGTTCAATTTTTTACACACATCATTTACCTGACAATGCCAATTGAGTGTATTTTCAACATAAATACCAAGCAGTTTTTGTGATTCTACATTGTCAAGAGTTGAGTCGTTAATTTTCAAATTTAATGCTTTTGCAATCTTTAGCTTTTGTCTACTACCTACCAGCATACTTTTAGATTTTTTTAGGGTGTAAAAGCATATTATTTATTTTACACCACTTAATAATCATATTAAGGCTATATTGTAGTTTTTCCTCTATAACTGATATGTCATCTCCAGATTTAACACAATATTTGCATTATATCAAAAGGTATGAGGGGCCTCCGTGACCAAATGACTGCTAACTTTATTTCCTCCCGATTGAACGATTTTGAGAAATGATTTTTTTCATTCTTTTCGGCGTTGGTTAACCTTTTTGGTTAAGTTTTCGATTATGTTTTCGCCTTGATTAACCTTTTGGTTACGGCTAATTGCTCAAAAAAGTTCAAACATATTCACTTTAAACATTAAATACTTATTTCATATAAAAGTAAAATGTATTTCTAAAGGAAAGATCTTGAAAGGCATTTTTGCTTAATTATCTCCCTTTTTATATTTTTTTCCCAAAACCATCACAAATATTCACTTCAAACTTGAAATATTGATTGTATATCAAGGCAAAAATTTCATTTTAACAGAAACGGCAAATACGTGAAACAAGAGGGCCATGATGGCCCTGAGGTCGCTCACCTGTATATAGGCCCCCCCACCCCCGGGCCAATTTTTACCCAAGGGCTTTTATTTGTTTATTTGAACAGACTTGGTAGACACCCATAAGAAGATGTTTCATGCTAAAAATCTAAGTTCTAGCTCATTGGCTTTTTTAAAAGAAGATTTTTAAAGTTTTTACTATACACATATAGTTAAAAACAATGACACCCCTGGGGCAGGGCCAGTTTTGACCCCCGGGCGTTTATTTTAACAAACTTTGTAGATATTTACTTAAAGATGTTTCATGCTTAATATCTAAACTCTAGCTATTTGGGTTTTTCCAAAGAAGATTTTTAAGTTTTTGCTATACACATATAAGGAAAATCAATGACCCCCCCCCCCCCGAGCGGGGCCAGTTTTGACCCCAGGGCTTTTATTTGAACATACTTGGTAGACACCCATTAGAACATGTTTCATGCTAAATATCTTAGCTCTAGCTCTTTGAGTTCTTTAAAAGAAATTTTTTAAGTTTTTACTATATGCATATAGGGAAAATCAATGACCCCCTGGGGCGGGGCCAATTTTGACCCCAGGGCTTTTATTTGAACAAACTTGGTAGACATTCACTAGAAGATGTTTCATGCCAAATATCTAAGCTCTAGCTGTTATGGTTCTTTAAAAGAAGATTTTTTAAGTTTTTACTATACACATATAGGGAAAATCAATGACCCCCGGGGCGGGGCCAATTTTGACCCCAGGGCTTTAATTTGAACAAACTTGGTAGACACTCACTAGAAGATGTTTCATGCTTAGTATCTTAGCTCTAGCTCTTTGGGTTCTTTAAAAGAAGATTTTTAAGTTTTTACTATATGCATATAGGGAAAATCAATGACCCCCTGGGGCGGGGCCAATTTTGACCCCAGTGCTTTTATTTGAACAAACTTGGTAGACATTCACTAGAAGATGTTTCATGCCAAATATCTAAGCTCTAGCTCTTACGGTTCTTTAAAAGAAGATTTTTTAAGTTTTTACTATATGCATATAGGGAAAATCAATGACCCACAGGGGCGGGGCCAATTTTGACCCCAGGGCTTTTATTTGAACAAATTTGGTAGACACCCATTAGAACATGTTTCATGCTAAATATCTTAGCTCTAGCTCTTTGGGTTCTTTAGAAGAAGATTTTTTAAGTTTTTACTATATGCATATAGGGCAAATCAATGACCCCCCCGGGCGGGGCCAATTTTGACCCCAGGGCTTTTATTTGAACAAACTTGGTAGACATTCACTAGAAGATGTTTCATGCCAAATATCTAAGCTCTAGCTGTTATGGTTCTTTAAAAGAAGATTTTTTAAGTTTTTACTATACACATATAGGGAAAATCAATGACCCCCGGGGCGGGGCCAATTTTGACCCCAGGGCTTTAATTTGAACAAACTTGGTAGACATCCATTAGAACATGTTTCATAATAAATATCTTAACTCTTGCTCTTTAGGTTCTTTAATAGAAGATTTTTAAAGTTTTTACTATAGGCATATAGGGAAAATCAATGACCCCCTGGGGCGGGGCCAATTTTGACCCCAGTGCTTTTATTTGAACAAACTTGGTAGACATTCACTAGAAGATGTTTCATGCCAAATATCTAAGCTCTAGCTCTTACGGTTCTTTAAAAGAAGATTTTTTAAGTTTTTACTATATGCATATAGGGAAAATCAATGACCCACAGGGGCGGGGCCAATTTTGACCCCAGGGCTTTTATTTGAACAAATTTGGAAGACACCCATTAGAACATGTTTCATGCTAAATATCTTAGCTCTAGCTCTTTGGGTTCTTTAGAAGAAGATTTTTTAAGTTTTTACTATATGCATATAGGGCAAATCAATGACCCCCCCGGGCGGGGCCAATTTTGACCCCAGGGCTTTTATTTGAACAAACTTGGTAGACACTCACTAGAAGATGTTTCATGCCAAATATCTAAGCTCTAGCTCTTTGGGTTCTTTAGAAGAAGATTTTTTAAGTTTCTACTATATGCATATAGGGAAAATCAATGACCCCCTGGGGCGGGGCCAATTTTGACCCCAGGGCTTTTATTTGAACAAACTTGGTAGACACTCACTAGAAGATGTTTCATGCCAAATATCTAAGCTCTAGCTCTTATGGTTTTTTAAAAGAAGATATTTAAAGTTTTTTCTTTTGGTTGCCATGGCAACCAGAGTTCTACATGGAATTAAATTCTTTGGACAATTTTTAAAGGTGACCACCAAAGGAACATTCCTGTGATGTTTGGATGAAATTGGCTCAGTGGTTTATGAGGAGATGTCATTTAAAGCAAAAGTTTACGGACGGACGGACGACGGACGGACGCCGGACGAAAAGCGATCACAAAAGCTCACCCTGTCACTTTGTGACAGGTGAGCTAAAAATGCACAGTATGAAATGCACGGTCAACACGAAAATCGACAAACAAGTTTGGTCTTATTCGAAATGGGAAGTGTTTTGGGCCATTTTGAGATCTTGCACTTAGCATTCGTGTAGTACTCTTTGATCATTTAGTATTCCTCACAGGTTTGCCGATCTGCGGTCGGGTGTTAGATATGAGCGAATTTCACGATTAGCAGATATTATCATATTATATGCCGGCAGCTGAGTGAGCAGATGTCAAAATTAGAAAACGTACAGAACATTAAGTACATTTTACCATTTGTCAAACACTATTTACGCTTGGACATTATATTAATATTTCACTCGTCACGCCGCTTTATACTATGATAGATTCTCTATAAGAATACCAATAATTAATTATGTTCATATTGGCCTTGCTATTTGGTTGAATACAGCTAGCCGTATTGGCCAGGGAATCTAGGCTTTTTCATATTTTATTGTCACATGATTGCTTTTGCTGTAATGAAAATCTTAATCTGTTACGATTTCAATGAAACTTAATCTGACATTTTTCGAAAAAACAACAACACAAGACATACATTATACATGTGTAACGACGATATTAATTATATCTGTAACCACTTTTATGCTCGTAGTTTTTTTGTCACGAGTTTGATTAGAACTTTTTGATTTCTTATCGTGTTCTAACGCGCATGTCGAGAACATCATAGTAAAATTCAAATGACCATAAATACAAAACATAGGCACTATAGAGTATTTATTTTAAGAGAACTTTATTGTTCAAAATAAAATATGGAACAGATGCGTAAAGTAAACATTTTTATATTTATTGAAGAAACAATATGAATGAGCACTGCCACTCTGGCGTTAAAATGGAAATAAAAACACGCAAATATAATAAAAGCATATAAACTGTTTGTGCAAATAACATGTTTTATGCTTTCAAAACTGATTTTGTTTATCTACGTTGACTTCTGTACCAGATTCTATCTAACACATACCAGGTTGTCTCTTAGGATGCAGGGCTGCCGACTTCTAGGGCGTTAGGCAAACTCCTAAGGCCCATGTCGTCAGCAATTTAGGCTTCCTCTTCCGGCTGCGAGACGATTTGCCTCCTCAGCCTACTAGGCCATCATTCTGCAAACTCAGACTGGCCGTTAGGCTGTCTCTTTTGCTAATTTTACAGACATGTTTGTACAAAACTATTTACATAACAATGTAAATTTTGCAGTTTCATACAAATGGTAGACAATTGTATAATTAATTTATCAATATGTACTTGTATAAGATCAGGTAAAAATCGAACGCAAAATTGATATAACATAATAGTTCAACGTCTTGCGACATTTAACGATAGTGTTGCGACATTTAACGGTAGGGGAAATCCGTGCGACATTTAACGCTAACATTGCGACATTTTACGGCAAATGATTTTGCGACATTTAGCGGCGGTTGCGACACTTAGCGGCAATGGTGCGACATTTAGCGGCGTTGCGACATATAACGGCGCCACAATGTTACTTTAGTGTTACCGTGGGGTTTTCCTTATAAAACATAATTTCTGGAAAGTATTCGATTAGAATTTCAGCAATACTTTTAAAAGGGTCGATAAAAGTGCAGATTGCTTGGTTTTTAGGCTGACGGCAAAATATTTTTACATATTTATAAACTGTAGCTTTAAAGATTTTTACCTGCATCTCCATACTATTGACAATTCTTAATGTTTGAATTTGGTTTCTACTCTTTAAGTTTTATATAAAGACAACTAATATTTATACTGACTGAATGTTTTATTGACAGAGAGAATATTAAACTAAAACAATAAAAGTACCATCAAGAAGTAAAGATAAATTGACTTTCTATATATGATATGATATTTATATTGTTTTATATTTTTCATACTATCTTTGTTACCTCAGTAAGTTAGTAACGTATATGTTTAAATGTTTTCAGATTTCTTATTATTCAACAAACATGAACCATGAATGGAATCCTGTGAAAAATGGCAAATAACTAAACAGAAACTATCCCTATTACATTCAAAGCTGTTTTAAGTTTAGTATAAAAATCAAAAGAAAAGCATGCACTGATAAGGATAAAATAGAATGAAAGGTAAACTACAAGCTAATAAATGTAGCAAACTTCTTTTAAACATAAAACAATTAAAGTAGATAATATTGTTGAATCTAGTATACTGATTTTTTTCCAGAGTAATAAACATGAAGATTAAATAATTACCATTATCATTTTCAGTTCTTTTTGTAATTGATTATTTAACAACAATATGTAAGGGCTATGTTAAATAATTCCCTATAGCTACTGCAATAAATAAATAAAAAATGACTGACTTTCCCCGGCATGATGAGCTTTTACAAACTAAACAAATTTACCTGTTTCCCTGATATACTTTTCAAGCTGTTTTTTTTTTTATAAAAAAGAAATAAGACTGCAAATATTTTGTAAAGATTTTTTATCAACAACAAAAACAACATCATACATGATACAAAATTGCCATAATGGCCCTTAATAGATCACAAGAATAAATGTTACAAAACAGTAAGTTTACATATGAAAATTTGAGTAACCATGTATGTTTTGTAAATACACATACCCCTGGTACTGATTCTTGTCGCTAGACTGTTTACACATTCAGTTATGGAAAGGTGTTTACAAAGGTGTGTAACTTAGACAGAATCAATAACAACTTCTTTTGCTAGAAGAAACTTGAAGGTCATGTATCTATATTTCAACCTTTCCTGGATAATCTCCAATTTCTCAGTAATTGACTGACTTCTGATCCCTAAAGATTTTTGAATCATTTGTGAGAGACATCTGAACATTAGATTCAATGTTGGAGATCAACTGTCGCATGAAGTTAACACCTCACATGAGGATCAAACCAGTCACCCCTGCATTACTTATCCCATGCTCTCACTTCCCCTCTCCCTCTGGTATGATAATATGATAATACCCTTACTACACCCTGATTTGACATAGGATAAGAAATTTATTCCCAGCCAGATTTTTAGGCTATTCAGTTGACTACAGAGAAGACAGAAATCTATTTTTAGATATCCTAGTATACAATTATATATAGTGTTTTCAGGGTGGATTCCATGAAATGTTTACCAGAGTCAGAAAAAAAATCACCCTGAAATGGAAATCCAGGGCAGAATTTTCACTCAAACAGATTTCTAAAAATAGCGGCATATGGTCACCAAGTAAAAGAATGCGAGTGCTCTAAATGATAAAGTGATGGGCGAAACTGAATACATTTTTTTTTGCAATAAAAGACCTTTAAAATAAGAGGACAGACTCATGACTGTTGATAAAAATAGTTTGTTTCATTTAATATTCGCAAGGCCTTAATGTTAATTTCTCAGTTTAGTCTTCACTATGGCATAAAACTTGAAAAATAAAGGTTTAACAGATTTTAACATATGTAACAATTATTTTTATTGTAAAAGTGTGGCATTGTCCATCAGAAGTAATAGGATATCAAGGACTCATTATCCTAATATAAACACTTTTCCAACTTACTTTCACATAGTTCCATTCCATGGAAAGGCGCATATCGTCTCCAAATAAAAACTTTGTGTGACCCTAAACAATAAAACAATGGGCAAAACTGAATAAAAAGGAATTTTGAAAGGGGATCAGAGGTTATGAAGCCTGCATATGTAAAATCCCAGAGTTATGAATAGGACAAGATTTTCTAACTGCTAACTTTTGACCTCTATATGTGACATTGACCTTGGAGCATAGGGTCTAAGTCTTGCACATGACACACCATTTCATCATGCTTCACATTTCTGCCAAGTAATTTCAAAATCCCTTTATGCATGATAAGAGTTAATGGGTGGACAAGATTTTCTAATTGCTGACCTTTAACCTTTCAGTGTGACCTTGACCTCTGAGCCATGAGCATGACAAACCATCTTATCATGCTTCTCATTTGTGCTTAGTTCTATCAAAAAACCCTTAATGCATGACAGAGTTATGGGCTTGACAATGTTTTCAACCACACCCACCTGCGGATGTACAGGGGTAATACTATATGCCCCCTTGACATTATTATGGCAGAGGAATAAAAAATACAAGCATGCAAAGATCAAACTGTATAAATATGCGAAAGTGATCTATGTGGATATCAGACTAAAAGGTCAGTGTGAACTTTTCTTCAAGTGAGAATAAATATATATTCAAACATACACATACTTAAAAAGAGAAAATGACAAGCTATGATAAAAATAAAAGGCAAAAATAACAAGAATGCCATGATGTATCTGTATTGCTCACCTGAGACACACATTATTAGAAAAGGTCAAAACTCTTCAATACAGAAGTCAAGTTTTGTGTGTCATTTATAACCCCAGCTGTATACCTACATAAAATATTTGTAGGCATCTGCTTGGAAAAGCTACATGACAAGTATCTAAAGTATTTTCACAAGAAGATTTATATGTTTCTATTTCAGTCTACATAAACTAAGCAATAACCCCAAAAAATCAGTTTTGAAAATTAAGTCAGGATCACTTGATCCTGATCCTGATCTTTTCTTAGTGAAGACGGGGCCTGGGGCTTGATTTATAAACCTTTGTCCATTAGGCAATTCTTCAGGTCAAATCATTATCGCTAAACACAAGACTGACTTATATATATTTTCAATTATACATGTAAGTCTATATCAAGTAAAAAAAAAAATGTGTAACTTGACGTTGGAACTGTGCCAATTTTACCCCAGGGGCAAGATTTTGTATTACTTTATGGAGAACCACATGGTGATAATACATGCAAAAATATTCAAAAATCTAAGCATTGTAGTTTAACAACAAGAAACGCCACATTGCGATGAAAACCAGGTTTTCAACGACCAAGTTTTGATGTGACAGCAATCAATAGGTCAAAGTGCACTGAAGTAGAAGCTGAAAATTCTATGGTAAAAACATGACCTTGAACTTGCTCCCAGATATCTAAGTGGCAATCCAAAGCTGCCACTCAGCAAGTTTGGTGTCAAAAGGTCAAAGCAAACTCAAGTTATTGAGCGGAAACTGAATTTCTATTTTTAGTAACAGTGACCTTGACCTTGATCACAGACATCTGGGTAGCAATCCCAAGCTGCCTCTTGATATAAGCTATCCATACACCAAGTTTGGTTTCAATAAGCCAAAGCAAACTCAAGTTATTGAGCGGAAACTGAATTTCTATTTTTAGTTACAGTGACCTTGACCTTGATCATAGACACCTGGGTAGCAATCCCAAGCTGCCTCTTAATATAAGCTTTCCATACACCAAGTTTGGTGAAGTTTAGTGTCAATAGGCCAAAGCAAACTCGAGTTATTGAGCGGAAACTGAATTTCTATTTTTAGTAACAGTGACCTTGACCTTGATCACAGACACCTGGGTAGCAAACCCAAGCTGCCTCTTGTTATAAGCTACCTACACACCAAGTTTGGTGTCAATAGGCCAAAGCAAACTATAGTTATTGAGCGGAAACCAAAAGTTGACGCCTGCCCGCCCACCCTCCTGCCCGCCCGCCGACTTCGGCACTACAATAACCAGGTTTTCGTTGAAAACCTGGTTAAAAAAAGATTTCATTTTTTTAGTCTTGTGACCCACTTATGCATCAGACTCAAACCATTTACATAACTTTTTGAAAATGGCAACCTAGGGATCATTACTGAGAAGTTGGTCAAAATCCACCTTGTGGTTTAGGTGATGTTTTTTAAAGAAATTGTGGAGAGCCAGAAATGATGAACACACTACCCCTCTACTCACTGTGTGCTCAGGTTGAGCTAAAAAACAATTTTAAACATATTCAAGGAATAACAGATATATAATCAATACTAAGGGCAAAATAGCTAACATATTTAACATATTAAAATCTTTATACAATTTGAAATGTGAAAACAGTAATATATATTATACCATTGACCTTTTTTCTAGAAAAACTGGAATGTTTGAATTTTTAAATTCTGGAAAATCTGGAAAAGGAACAAATTTATTAATAATACAAGCTCACAAGTATTTATATTAATCATTGCATTAACTTAAACCTATTATGCTACAATTATATACATTGTGTACAAATATTAATTTAAAACTTTACTTTAAAAATCTAAAATTTCTCGTACATACAAAAAAATGAATTTGCCTTAATATTGTTCAGCACAACTCATAGAATATAAGCTTCACAATGCATTCTATGATATAAATAAAAAATTGATGAACAGGGACACATTTTGCTCCAGAAGAATTATTTCCTATTCAAGTCCATGTGAACTAAATGAAGATTTTTCAAAATTTCATTACAGAGGTCAATTTAATTTTGTGCTTCTAGACATTACATATCAGATCTGAACCATTTCTACAACTTTTGTAAAGGGCTAAGGATCATTCCTTTGAAATTTGGTCAAAATCTATCACATAGTTATAGAGATGATGTTTATAAATTGTGGTTCTTAATTAACCATGCATGACAGACATGTTACCATACAAAAACCTCTAAGCATGTAGTGTTCAGGTGAGCTAAAAATGTATGCTAAATGTATGTTTAAATACAGGAATGTATGAGAACTCATAAAACATGAAATATCCGACACTGATTTTTTACTGTAAATGGTTAGTAAATAAACAAACAACAATTCATATTAAATGCAAATAGAGCATATAAAAGTTACCATTGTGCAAGTAAAATCATTTAGATTAAATGAATAAAACCGTTTTACTTTTCTCTAAATATGTAACAAATATGACACCTTCAGGGTGTATCATGATTATTATGGCAACAGTAAATGAGAATGAGTCAGATCACAACACAAACACGTGCTAAAGTAACAGAAAGCACCAACAACATGTATAGCTTACAGACAGTACATGATCTTATCACTCATTATAAAACAAAATAATCAAAATAAGTGATATAATCTTGTACTCCCTGTACACATCAAGTATATATTACATTTTAATAACACAAGAACATAAAACTCCTCCATTCACTTTGAAGGATGTATCAATAATCTTAACAAAGAGAACTTGTCTTCAACATATATATATGTCACTCTAACTGATAAACAATAGCCGCTTAAAAACAGGAAAATTACATAATGAAAAGAAAACAGTGATAGTAGTAGATTGTTCACCTGAGATCTACTGCAAGAAATGCTCATAATTCTTCAATCTCGGTCACATTTGAGAATATCGTTTACGACTAAAGTGGCATGATTTGTAAATCTTTTTTATACAGGTCCACTAGAAAATGCCACCTGCCAAAACACCTACGCAATACACAAAATAGTGCCAAAGTAGATCTTAAATGTTTTTCTCTTGTCAATTCAAGCATCTTATTTTAAAATATTGTGCATGCACAACAAATACCAAACTATGATACAAAACAAATATGTGCATTTGTTAAATAAATTGAAAATCTGAAAGTGTATAAACTTTAAATCACTTCTTATAAACAAATGACTGGGAGTTTACTCATCAATTTTTAAAATCCAATTCACCCTGTGACGTCATCAAGATATATATATAACTGATAATGGTTATTTTCTGTTCCATCTGATCAAGACATATTTTGAAATCTGGGTTACATTAATTCATTATAATAAAATCATTTTTGCCAGTCTATGTGACTGATAAATTCATATCATCAACAATCAACTTTATAAAGTGATTAGAACATCAAATGGATATCAAAATAACCAGTTTTACTATACATCTTTTTAATAAATATTTTGATACAATGAAATTGTTTTGGCTAAAACTCATGTGTTTTAACATTTTTTACCCAAGGGGCATGATTCCTGTAACTTTTGTTAAAAGTTTAATAGGCAATGCTATATGCTAAATACCTATGCTTTTGGCATTGTAGTACCAGTCAAGAAGACTTCTATTTAAGTCCTAATAACTAAAGTGATACCCAGAATGGGACCATTTTTTATCCAAGGGACAAGATTTATACAGCTTTTGTAAAGAAATACTAAATGACGCCACAGGTCAAATATTTAAGCTTTAGTTTCTGATTAGAATCATTGAAGTAATTTATGTAATTAGCATCTTAATGGTTATTCCTGTGATGCTTGACTAAAATCTACCATGTTATTTAGCAGTGTTGTTTACAGAAACTGTGGATATTGACCCATAACACAGGACTGACATCATGCCATCAGAAATGTTCATCTCTGAGCACAAAATGCTCATGTGCGCTGAAAATGCTAATTAATGATGTTTACTCTATAAATGTAAATTTTAACGAGAAGTTATTATTATCTTAAAAACCCACAAAATAAATTCAAAATTGCTTCAGCTTTTATTTTCAGTTGAAAAAACAATTCTGTGTCGTTAAAATCAAAGTACATCAATATTTTAATCTCTGAAAAGTGAATCATATCACTGTTTAGCCTTCATTAAAGCAGTGTCCCCGAGAGCTTTTTATAATATATCAGTAACATTTGTTTCTAAAAAAAAAGAAGAACCGGAAAACAATCGTCCGCTTTAGTAATTTACATTCAGAGAGCAGACCACTAGATTTGAGGTATCGAGGGGTTTCCTAATTGATAAAGTATTTTATTGACAGCAAATTTCATTTTCCATCTGACAATTATATTTTTCTAAAAATAACATTTAACCTTTAGAAAAGCTGAAGGCCACGTTAAAGTAGTAGAGGAAAGCATGTAGGTCACTCTTCTGAAGAAAAAAATGCTATCATTTACTATATGCTTTCTTTAAGTTTTCAATATTTATATATATGTATATATGCTTTCATTTTTTCCCCTATCAAAACAAAGCAACGTAGAATTAAACAAGATTGCATTTGTGAAAAATGCTCTGCCACCGCATAAATACAACACTAAATAGTAATGTAGGAACAGAATTTTTTGTGTTTCTACACAATTGAAGATTGCCATAATGCTTAGATCACTGACCTATCTAATTCTTATAATCAGATTAGTGGTTAAATCTATTGTCATTCATATAAAAGGTCAGAGTAGAGTCACATCATCAAAATCTAGGTCACCTGATATCAAAGTTCAATTCTGCAACTAAAACTGTGCACATAGTCCAAATTTCATGGCTGTACATCAAAAGACAAGAAAGTAGGTCACTGTCCCCTTGGGCAAGGCAAAATTTTGACCCAAGGGTTTAATTCAAACAATCTTCATACAGGTCCACCAAACAACATTTCATGTCAAATATCCAAGCTGTAGCTTTTACCAATTCAGAAAACATTTGTTTTAGTTTCTGTTTTTACTATGTATATTATGAAAATTAATGCCCCCGAGCAGAGCCAATTTTGACACCAGGGGCAAAATTTGGACAACTGTGGTAGAGGACCTATGGATGATATTATAAAGCAAACATCAAAGCTCTAAGCCTTGTACCTTCAGACAATAAGATTTTTTAATTTTTTACTCATTAACATAGTGACTGAAAATCAATGACCCCTTGGGCGGGGCCAATTTTGACCCCAGAGCTATAATTTGAAGAATCTTGCTAGAGGTTCACTACACAATGTTTCATGCAAAATATCTACCCTCAAGCCTTTGTCAATTTAGAGAAGATGACTTTTTTAAGTTTTACTATACAATAGAGGCAAAATTTGAACAACTTTGGTAGAGTACGTGTAGATGATATCATATACCAAATATCAAAGCTCTTAGCCTTGTACCTTCAGACAATAAGATTTTTTAAATTTTTTTACTATATGTACATGTACATAGTGAAAATCAATGACCCCTGAGGCAGGGCCAATTTTGACCCCAGGGCTATAATTTGAACAATCTTGGTAGAGGTTCACTACACATGTTTCATGCAAAATATCTAACCTCTAGCCTTTGTCAATTTCGAGAAGATGATTTTTTAACTATAAGTTTTTACTATATACATAAACAGAAAACCTATGATCCCCTGGGTGGGGCTAATTTTGATGCTAGAGTAGTAACTTGGTAGAGTACCTATAGATGATATCATATACCAAATATCAAAGCTCTAAGCCTTTTACCTTCAGACAAGAAGTTATTTTAAGTTTTTACTATATGTACATATAGTGAAAATCAATGACCGCCGGGGCGGGGCCAATGTTGACCCCAGGGCAATAATTTGAACAATCTTGGTAGAGGTCTACCAGACAATGCCTTATGCAAAATATCTAAGCTCTAGGCCTTTTGGGTCTTTACAAGAAGATTTTTTAAATTTATTCTTATAATTCCTTTTGGTTGCCATGGCAACCAGATTTCAGCATGGAATGAAATTCTTTGAACAACTTAGGAAGCCAAGGATCAATCCTGCCAAGTCTGGTTGAAATTGGACAAGTGGTTTTTCACAAGAAGATGTTTTAAGTTCACTACATAATCTATAGAACACACAAACACACAGGTGAATCGCTATATGCCACTGCATCGCAGGTGGCATAAAAACACACTTAACATTAATATTCAAGATGATATAAGATATGTGTTAAACAAAACAAAACAAGGTGAACCAGTTCATCCCTGATCTATAACCATCTCTATCTTTTATTTTGAGACACACTGTAATATTTTCATTAGAGTATAGTGTAAATATACAACCAAGTTTTAAACATTATATTAAATCTTCACACCTTCATCAGGATTTAAAAACGACACAATGTCTTTTACATGATACAGCAATGACAATACTTTTAAATAAAAAATAATGTTTGTTTTCTCTCTTGTATGACTCGAGTAATAGTTACAATATTTTTCTTTTTCAGATAAAATTATGAAGTATAATTTAGCAAACATTATTTGAAACACTGCTCACAATACATGTATATTTTTGGAATATTAAATGTTATTAAAAGATTGACTTTTTAACAGAAATAAATATATTACAAGGTATCTTAATAAAAACTTAAGATTCATTGTATGACATTTCAGTAAGAAAGTGTTGAATCATCCCACTCTAATGTTTTTCTTGCTCTTCTAGCATCATCATAATCTTCATCATCTGTTGTATCATCATGGAAACATTCACTGATATCATCATCTGTATCACTGTCATCAGGTAATGATACTTTCCCAGGATTCTCTTCATATTCAAATAACTGAAATAATACATTCACTTTTCTAGGAGCAAAACTTAATTACATTCTACTAATCCAACAAGATGTAAAATATATTGATCAGCGGCAATATTTTATGAACAGCATTTGTATAAATAGTTATCACTATTGAAGCTTTTGACAGACTAATAGAACAAACATGTTTATTTCAACTGATCTCCTTAGAAATAAACATCCCTCAGCAAAATGTTTTGCCAAGCCTGAAGCCAACACTGAGGGATAGCCCTTCTTCCCCCCCCCCCCCCCCCCCCCCCCCCGAAAAGTAGAGCTAAAAAATATTTCACTGCACAAAAACTTTAATTAAAGCTCTGGACAAGAACACTGATGCTGGGATGAGTAGGACAGCTTTCCATATACTTTATATAGTCTAGCTAAAAATGTTGCATACTAACATATGAACTAAACAAAAACATGACAATGTTACAAAACCAGGCTTTCCATTATCATCATTGTAGAAAGTCTTATTGTAGCTGGAATACAAATACAAGAAAGGTACAATGTAACTAAGTGCCATGTAAATGAGCAAGCATTTTGAAAGAAAAGCTGATGGAAAAATGAATACTATATTGGCCATAAAGCAATTCTAAGTGAGGTCTTCACATCAGCTTGCTATACACCAAGTTTTGTATTACGTATCTAAATTCTAACTCTACTTATCAACCTGAAACAAATTTTCTAACTTTTGTAACAATGACCTTGACCTTGATCCTATGGAGCTCAAAAGCGAGGCTTTCCAATAGGAATGCTATACAAGTTTAACTAAAATATTTTATTCCTAAATCTAGTAATTGATTGGAAATTTATTTTCTATTTTTAGTAACCAAGACCTTGACCCTAGGGTCCCAAAAGCAATCCCAAGGGAGGTCTTCACATAAGCTTGCTATACACACAGTTTCATTGAAATATCTCATCCCAAACTCTATTTATTGACCAGAAACAGATTTTCTATATTTATTTTACAGTGATCTTGACACTAGGGGGCCAAAAAGCTATCCCAAGCGAGGTTTTCACATATGCTTCTTTATGACTTGAACTTAAGTTACTAACCGTCACCATCATGTTTGGTGCCTGCCCACAGCCTTACCCCAATCTAAAAACCAGGAGTTTCAAAATTGAAAATCTGGTCAAAAAACAAACCTCTTGATCAATGGGATTCACTGTGATATTGAGTTCTGAATTGTCCCATTCCATTTCTGGTCGTTCATCCATGGATGGCACACGTCTGTTGTGAGCAGCACGTATACGCAAAACACCAAGCACAATCATAAACAAGAGGAAACCAACACATACCACAATTATAGCCACCATTCCAAGGTCTGAAAATATCAATTTGAAAACATTTCATATTCTAACTTATCAAATGTTATAAAATGATGTGCCATGATTTATAACTAAATGCTGTAGTGTCTAGTGAATTTTGAGGTGAAGGTTATATTTCAGCATGTCAAATGAATGAGAATAATTTTTCAAATGTATTTATTTGTTAAATCAAAGAGTTTTGAAGTTTTTACAGTATATATGTATAAGACAAGAGGGCCATAATGGCCCAGGATCACTCACCTGAAATACATTGCTAGAAATGGTCACAATTCTTAAATGCAGAAGCAAGTAATTAGTTCACATTTGGTGAATGGCTGCAATCTTTGTAGATAACCACTAGACAATGTTTTGTAACAAATATTTTAGCTCTAACCTTTTTAGTTTTTCAGGAGAAGATTTTAAAAAAAATTATTTCATGAAATATAGAGAAAACCTCTAACACAGGAGTCCCCAGAAATAAAATTGCAGCAACAATCTTGATAGAAGTCTGCTAGACAATGTTTCATGCCAAATATCTTAGCTTTACCCCTTGTAGTTTTGAAGAAGTTTTTTTTTTCAATTTTTACTAAATACATATAAGAAAAACACATGACCCCAGGGCTAGGCCAATTGTGACCCCAGGGCTATAATTTGAACAATTTTGGTAAAGGTTCACAAGACAATGCCTTGTGCAAAATAACTACACTCTAGGTCTTGTGGTTCTAGAGAAAAAGCTTTTTTTTTGGTTTCTTCTAATTATTCCTTTTGGTTGCCATGGCAACTGGACTTCTGCATGGAATTAAATTCTTTTAACAACTCTGGTAAATCGCTATATGTCATCACACATATGGGATGCAGTGGCATTAAAAAGGGTCAAATGGAAAAAACTGTCACAAAAGTAACAAAAACCCAATCATCTCTATGACACAAGGTTTAATGTAAGTCCATTTTTCATTACTTTTTGGGGTCATCATTTAAGTCAAACTTGTAGAAAGTCATACAATGAGTATAGAATAGGAACAAAATTATCTGACATTTTACCTTCATCTTAAGCTGGCACAACAGTGACGTGTTCCGCATATTACCTTATTGAGGTGAAATTTTGAGTAAGTTTGAAGAAATTTCTTCAACAGATACAGGATTTATGGAGCAGGCACACAATTGTCAGTTATCTGACTGACAGATGCCACAAAGTGATTCTATTAAAGCTATCCATATTTTTGATGGGGGAATAATTAATAAGTCACCATAAATTTAGCAAATATATAGTGAACTGAATATCTAAATATCTCCTACATAAATTTTATAATCAAGGAATTGCAAAAGCAAGGCAATTTAAACATCAATGCGTTTGAGAAATCAAAAATAATAGAAGAGACCAATCTGTGAAATTTGTCTCATATGTGCTTTATCTGCATCCATGTGAAAACAAGTAACAAGAAATTGTCACCTGACAATGTTATACGCTCCAGGAAATGTAGTTTCAGAGAAGTTGAACTTAAAGTGCTCTCCTATATAAGTGATATCAAAGCTCTGTGCATTGTAGATTCTGAAGAAAGAGTTAGGCTTCCAATAAAAGCTTTCAATAAATGTGTAACAAAGGTAAACCCCTAGGCCAGCATCTCTGCCCCACGCATAGGACTTTTATACACCTTTTGTTGAAGTACACTAGGTAAAATTACATGCAAAATATTTAAGCTTTATGACCTGTTGTTTAAGAGAATAAGATTTTAATGTGTTTAACAATACAAGAGGACCATCATGGCCATATATTGTCCACCTGAGTATAAATCCACCTGAGTATATAGCAGATCAATGTAAGTCTCATTAACTTGAAGGTCTATCCCAAAACATGTATGAAGACAATTCATTTATAAATAACAAAGCTATAGCCACTTTGCTAAAAAAATTGCATTCTGAAGCTAATTTGAATAAAAAGAAGCTTAAAATACAGTTTCATTGAAATATTGTATGGTTATTTCATGTTCAGGTTTTTATCTCTACTTGGAGGGGACAAAGTGATTCCATGTAGCACATCTACAAATACAGGATTTATTTTCATCTTGCGGTATGAAAATTATTATATTTCATCGTGGGTTCTGCCACTCATGAAACTAGAACTGCCACTATCATGGCGTGAATACCCCCGCATACCACTTTGTCAGAATCAACAGTGGCCATTTAGAGCTCAAGGACAACCTCCCTACAAATCTGAGGTTACTAAGCCAGTGCATTGCTAAGTTATGTATTCTACATGCTTCAAATGTGAAAATGTCAAAATCAATACATTGCGGACAGGACATTCTTTAGCAATTGAGAAGAAAAGCTTTTTTTTGTCAAGGTCCCTGTGACCTTACAAGGTTTAATGTAAGTCTATTTTTCATTTCTTTTTGGGTCATCATTTAAGTCAAACTTGTAGAAAGTCATACAATGAGTATAGAATAGGAACAAAATTATCTGACATTTTTACCTTCATCTTAAGCTGGCACAACAGTGACGTGTTCCGCATATTACCTTATTGAGGTGAAATTTTTGAGTAAGTTTGAAGAAATTTCTTCAACAGATACAGGATTTATGGAGCAGGCACACAGATGCCAGATGCCACAAAGTGATTCTATTAAAGCTATCCATATTTTTGATGGGGGAATAATTAATAAGTCACCATAAATTTAGCAAATATATAGTGAACTGAATATCTAAATATCTCCTACATAAATTTTATAATCAAGGAATTGCAAAAGCAAGGCAATTTAAACATCAATGCGTTTGAGAAATCAAAAATAATAGAAGAGACCAATCTGTGAAATTTGTCTCATATGTGCTTTATCTGCATCCATGTGAAAACAAGTAACAAGAAATTGTCACCTGACAATGTTATACGCTCCAGGAAATGTAGTTTCAGAGAAGTTGAACTTAAAGTGCTCTCCTATATAAGTGATATCAAAGCTCTGTGCATTGTAGATTCTGAAGAAAGAGTTAGGCTTCCAATAAAAGCTTTCAATAAATGTGTAACAAAGGTAAACCCCTAGGCCAGCATCTCTGCCCCACGCATAGGACTTTTATACACCTTTTGTTGAAGTACACTAGGTAAAATTACATGCAAAATATTTAAGCTTTATGACCTGTTGTTTAAGAGAATAAGATTTTAATGTGTTTAACAATACAAGAGGACCATCATGGCCATATATTGTCCACCTGAGTATAAATCCACCTGAGTATATAGCAGATCAATGTAAGTCTCATCAACTTGAAGGTCTATCCCAAAACATGTATGAAGACAATTCATTTATAAATAACAAAGCTATAGCCACTTTGCTAAAAAAATTGCATTCTGAAGCTAATTTGAATAAAAAGAAGCTTAAAATACAGTTTCATTGAAATATTGTATGGTTATTTCATGTTCAGGTTTTTATCTCTACTTGGAGGGGACAAAGTGATTCCATGTAGCACATCTACAAATACAGGATTTATTTTCATCTTGCGGTATGAAAATTATTATATTTCATCGTGGGTTCTGCCACTCATGAAATAATTATTTTCATACCACTGGATGAAAATGAATCCAGTATTTATAGAAGAAACTTGAATATCCACTATATGTCAAAATGTAGATCAGCTGATATGCATGGATAACATATAATATCGTTAAAATTTCACAGCTGTATATCAAATAACAAATAGGTTTTTACTATATACATGCAAGGAAAAGCATTGATCTCAGAGCTGGGTGATAATTTGAAAAACACTAACAATATTTCAGCTCTTTATCTAAGTCAGCCACAGGGTGGTCACAATAGCTCACTTTAAGCATTTTCAGCTCAGGTGATCTAGAGACTTTAATGTATTATGCAATCAAATGAAATAAATAATCAACATACTAGTACTGGTATTTCCTTCAAACTGTCTTTGCTGAAATGTATGTGTCAATACATTCTGATGTCTGGCATTGTTTGCTATATTTGCTTTCATTATTGTGTCATGTTCTTCCACATCTTTTACTGGAGCAATCTAACAAATATTAAATCAATAAATAATATAAAGAATGTAAAATTTTTCACAGTTCTAAGCAATCTACAAATATGAAAAATCAATTAAAACATAGATCTTTCAAAACACATTCTGTGACTTTGACCTTTGAACTATGTATCTGGGTCTTGCACAAGACACATAACCTACTTATGGTGATCATAAATACTATTTCTCTATGAAATCTTATATTGCATGCAGAAATAATTGATATGTCACTATCTCCAGATGCACTTAAAGCTGCACACCTCCAGATGAGCAAAAATATTTCAAGATTATCAAACTTGAGAAAAATATACATACGTTTTAAGAAAGGTAAAAAAGACTAAAGATTCAGGTAATAATTTATATTATATGTACAATTGTAGACTGATTTTGCAATATTTATCACAATATTTCTACTGGGTGACCAACACAGAAAGGGCTATTTTTTGCAAATTTTAAGGTCTTTTTGGTAATTTATTTGAATTGTGTCATTTGCAATGTGTAAATAACTTTTTTTTGTTTGCTTCACAATAGTTTACTTTTATATGCATTTTCAAAATTGTCATGAAAATTAGCATCATTCTCAAGGCATTGCTGCTTTACGACTTTTTGACAAATATACGAAGTTCAATTCCTTGCTATGATCTTGACATATGACATGGTGATCATATGAACTAATACATTTTAAAATCTCATCATGCATGTGACAGTTATAGACTGGACAAGAAAGCATATGATTTTATGGTTGTTTCATATACACTCAACACAAACAACAGTCTACAAACAATGTGAAGGACAGACAGACAAGTGCACATCTGTATTCCTTCTCCCTAAAGTTTTTATTATTTGTGGTTATTAAAGTACCCATATTCTCACCTCTGCACTTTATTTAGGGTTAAAAATTTAACCCTGAGCCATTATTTGAATTCAGTTTTATGAGAGCAACAAGGTGATCAATGCTACATGCCAAATATATAGAGCACCTGATAAGTCTCAGTACTGGTTTCACAGAAGACTTAACAAGACATGCCCGCGGACAGAATGTCGAGCCAACTCATCTTAATTCAAATCTGAACGTATAAGGTCCAAATCAAGGAGAAAGATATATACACAGGTGACATGTGCGCAACACATCCTCTTTATACCCAAGGCAAAATCTTGACATTGCATCATCTTGACCTTGACCTCTGACACGGTGACCTGGTTCATGTGCCTGACATTATGTCTCATGATGAACATTTTTGCCTTAAAAACTCAATTCATGTTATTTGAAAATACCTCCATGCACATAGAAGTTATAGCATGGACAAGTTTGGACGCACACATAAACATGACAACTTACTATGTCAAGCTAAGCGCAAGCGGGCTTGACGAAAATCCTCCGACCACGAAGCATATAATCAAGATACAGTGCCAACAAACAAATTTTGTTATTTTTATTTGACCTCTTGTGAACTTGACCTTAATTTTGCATGAGACAACTCAACTTAACATGGAGAAAATTTATGCTAAGTTATATTAAAATCAATTTATGTATATACATGTATAAGATATACTCGCAAATGAATGTTTAATTTTGTTATTTGACCTTTGACCTCTAAGTGTGACCTTGACCCTTTGCCACAGACATATGATATTTTCGCAGGACACTCCACCTTACTATGGAGAATATTTGTCCCAAGTTATATTAAAATCCTTCCATGCATCCTGAAGCTCCGGACACGGGTTTTGCGCTGACCCCCAAATGTGACTTTGACCTTTGAGCGGCCGACCTGTGTTTTGTGTGAGACACACCATCCCATCATGGTAAACATTTGTACCAAATTATTTTGAATGAACATGATCTGGACAAATCCGGATGGACGCATATACACCGAGTGATTACTAAGTTGAGCTTACCGCCAGCGGGCTCTTCAATAAAAACTTATTGTTAATAACAGATGATTATCAGATAACAGAGCCATCAATCGTAAAAGCCAACACTATGTCCTGAAGTAAACTTACCAGCACTTCAAACTCATTGCTGACAAATCTTGCACTCTGTGATGAGCAGCTTATAACAAACTTCCTCATGTACAGCTCCTCTGCTTTATTGTGGATATAGCGTATATTCCTAATTACCCTCTCATAGTTCTTTATTGTGTCAGCATCTGTCATAAAACATAAATTAATTTCTAAAAACAACCTTATGATAGAGCTATCAGAAAAGACAGCATTTTTGACTTATTGAATACCAGGGTTCTCACTGTTGCTCTCTAATTGCGCCAAATGCGACAATATATTAATTCTGGGGCATAAAATCTTAAATTGGCAAACTTTACTGGCACCAACGTAACATAAAAATATCTGACAACTAGTACACTTAAAAGTCATAAGCGTTCGCATAATTTACATAAGCGGCCCAGATGTGAAAGGTCACACGCCATTAGTTTGTTTATCAAACTGTATCATCAAATTGTGTGACACCTCGGGAACACGTCGAGATGAAAGTGCCAGTGATTTAATTGGAACAATTAACATCTTTAATCCCTCTAATTAGACCACTGTTAATTACACGGGCAATCAACTGGTGTTAGTAGCAAATTAGAGAAATAAAAGATCGACCATGACGTTAACAAAAATTAAACTGTAGGTAAGTCGACTCGTGAACTGACTAAAAATAATTATACTGTAGTTTGAAATATTAAATCGGGTGACAATTAAAATAATAATTTCACTAATGATTGATATAAAACCACTGTTTAATATTTGAATAGTGTTGATATTTTCGTATCTGAATATATTAGGTGCTAAAGAGTCTGATCACAAAAATCATTAAAATAAACAACATTCTTCTTTGTTAAAAAGTACTGAGTATCTGTTTCATTTCATTTCATTGATTTTGAGATAAGATTTATTCATACATATAAGTACTGGGTTTTTTTTCTTTTGTATTTGCAGATCATCAGAACGCAGTGGAAGCTGAAAAGATCTTGTCTCAGCCAAGTTAGTGTGAGTGGATAAGAGAGATAAGAACTGCTATAGGCAAAACAGGACCGCCCAACATCATTAATACTGCTTTAAAATGATGTAAAAACATCATGATTACATTTATGTTGTCATGTGTATTTATTTAAATGGAATTTGAAATCCACACATATATAAAGATGTGTTTGTAATCACAATGATATATAACTAGCATCAATATCTTAACGAAGATAGGCATGAACTCCAGATTAAAACAAGGGCAACATTGTGGCAATATACGCCCATCACAGAAGCTTTTGACAGAGATGTGGGCATTATAGATATGCATCTAGGAGATATGCTCTGTGCAATATCTGGATATATTATCATCTCTAGTGATTTTTTTTATCTGAACTTTGACCCCTATGTGTGACCTTGACCTTAGCCGCAGGGACCTTAATTTTGCATGCCACACACCGCCTCACAATAGTGAACATTTGTGCCAAGTTATATTGAAATTCCTCTATGCATGTAGAAGTTTTCTCCAGACAAGCATTTTTACCTTCTACCTAGAGACCTGGTTCATGCGTTGGACACAGCTTCTCATAGTGGTGAAAGTTTGTATGAAGTTTCATTACAACCTCTCCGTATATGTAGGAAATATGCTCTGGATGATATCTCTATATTTTATCATCTCAGGTGACCTTGACAATCATCTTAAGTGACCTTGACCTTGCATATATTTGCCTAAATTACATGTTTCACACCAGTAGTCATGATAATGACCATTTGTGTTTCAATCCCTTAATAAATGATGACTAAATGGTCCCAATACTTATTCATATTTATATCTGAACTGTGACCCCTATGTGTGACCTTGACCTTGGCCGCAAGAACCTAAATTTTGCGCGCAACACTCAGCCCCACAATAGTGAACATTTGTGCCAAGTTATATTGAAATTCCTCTATGCATGTAGCAGTTTTACTCTAGACAAGCATTTTTATATGACCTCTTAGTGTAACCTTGACCTATGACCTACAGGCCTGGTTCATGTGCGCAACACAGCTTCTTATAGTGGTGAACATTTGTATGAAGTTTCATTACAATCCCTCCATATTTGTAGTAGGAGATATGCTCTGGACAAAATCTCTACATTTTATCATCTTTAGAGACCTTGGAAATCATCTTTAGTGACCTTGACCTTGCATATATTAATCTAAATTACATGTTTTGACCTAGAGGCCTGGTTCATGCGCATGGCACAGCTTCTCATAGTGGTGAACATTTCTATGAAGTTTCGTTAAAATTCCACCATGGGTGTAGGAGATATGCTTCAGACAAAAATTGGACGCCACCAGCCAAGCTGCCCGCCTTGGAGAAAACAGTTTTTCAAACGGGCGTATAAGAAAACATTGAGGTTGTTCATAAACTTTTTAGTAAACCTTAACATAATATGTAAACTAAAGTATTGTAAACTTAACTTACCCATGATAACTAGTCCAGCTTGGGTCTCAATACCCTCCAACTTCATGTTAAACTTGTTTATTTCATCCTTTGGTAAGTCCAGATGTTCATTGTAGAAATTTAGAACAGGTTCTGCTCTTATTGTACACATATCAAGTAAAACATCTTCAGAATTATCCTTATGTACCATGGTTTGTTCTGTCATATAAAAAAGTGCATTCATAATAAATAATCTTAATATGCAACATATCCATGCATAAATATTTCATAACAGAGTAAACAATTTCACAATCAAATCATGAGGGTAAATTTTTCCTTTTAGCTGGAGAACTAATTCTTACACATGATATTTGTGACCCTAGGGGCATGTTTTATTTAACTTTTGTATAGAAACCACAAGAAGATGCTACATGTAAAATACCAATAAGTACTTATGTACCTACCCACCTACCACTTTTCTTGGGGGTGGGGGGGGGGGGGCTTAAAAAAAATCCATAAAATGCTACTTTTTACATAGATCAACTGGGGCACTTAAACAGAAAGATATACAAAAGATAATTAACAAGCATACTGATAAATTAAGTGAACTTTGTCTTTTTATGCTATTCTTAGCAATACTTTTCAGTTTTGTGTCATTTTACACAATTTGAATAATTATTCTGGAATAAATGGAGTGAGTGAATGATCTGCAATTTTGCACAAAATTTATTGGTCTATCCCTACACTGAATGGAACATGAATCTCAAACAATTATTTCCAGTCCCGTTAAGTAAGAAAAACCTCAGTGGAGTCCCTTTAAGAATGGATCAAAGGGCTTTGATAAAAATTCCATAAAAGAAATCTGTAACAACCTCTTACATCTTACTAAATTTATCTACATAGTTTCAAAGAGCCCTGAACTGTTCACTTGAAAATCAAACAAGAATATCATAATTATTATCATATTATGTCTAAGCTGAACTTGTTTTAATCTGGTTTCTATCTCAATTATAATATTTATTATTCTTCTAGTTTTTGTGTTAAGTTTACCTATTTGGCTAACTGGAATTATTAGGAATTTGTTCAAGTATCAACCGTGGATCAATTCCTGAAAGTTTCATCACAATCTGGCCTCGTTTAAGGAGGCCATCTTGTTAATTGGACCAAACCTATTCTAGCTATCTTTGCACACCATCACCAAGAATCACTCCTGTTGAATTATAAAAAAATCTGCCAGGACATCATTTGCAGGATTTGTCTATATTTGCAGAAGACTAAAGTAGTTTTAGCTTTTTTTGTCATGAATCATGTTAGGATCATTCTTGTATTATTTCTCATAAGGACTGGTCAAGTGTTTTAGCACGAGATGTTCAGACAACAACTAACCTAAGTACAATATCATGCTCAGTTGGGCTACAATTGTTACTTCCCCAAAACTGTAATATTAAATTCAGATGTGGACCCATATAGCTTGTAAGCTTGATCAGAGATACGGATTCAATTTTAATTTATTATCATATCCATATCAAACTTACGCATAAGTGTAGCTTTACTAAGTTTGTATTGAAGCCTAGCTTTCTTCATTTCAGATGTATCATTAACATCATCATTTTCACTTTCAGTCTCATCTCTATCATCTTCCTCATTTACAGGTAACATAAAATCCACATGGATACTCAAATCCTGAAAGAAAATATCATATATCAAATTTAAAGGTAACATAAAATCCATATGGATTCTAAACAGGAAATATCATTTTATCTCATTCACAGGTAACATAAATAGGAGTTACTGCTGAGCAGGAACCACACTTGAGTTTTTCTTATTTCCAAAGGCAAACACAGCATAAGAAGAGCTCTGTAGTGAAGGGTTTAAATAAAGTAAAATTAAAGTGATTTAGAATCAAGGTCATACCTGAGTTACTCAAAATAATGTTTAATTCATACATAAAGGGAAAGCCCATAACCTCCTGGACCAGGAGGATTTTGATCACAGAACAATTTTGTGAACCATTCACAAATCTTGGTTGATGTCAACTAGACAATGTTTCATGCCAAATATCTAAGTTTTAGCCTTTGGACTTTAAGAGAAGATTCTCTTTTTTTTTAAGTTTTATTGTACACATAAAAAGAAAGCCAAGGTTACTTGGGGGAAGAGTTATTTTGATGCCAGGGCCATAATATCAGCAATAGATGGAAAGTCACTGGTTGCTATGGAAAGTCAATGGTTGCCATGAAAGCTACTGATTGTTATGGAAAGTCAATGATTGCTATGGAAAGTCACTGGTTCAGGGCTGCCAACAACAAGAAGTAATATCATAATGTTTTGTCACTGATCATTCCAGCACTACCCTCCATTTGAGACTTGGCAGGCTTCATGATGGGGCCTGTATCCCCAAAACTTCAGAAGTTATTTAGACATCATGCAACTGTCATAATATAATTTAACAAGAGCTGTCAAAAGAGACAGCGAAGCTCTACTAATTAAATACTGGACACAGCAAGGAAGACAAAACTATGAAAGAACAAGAGCTGTCCGTAAGACAGCGCGCTCGACTTTTTTAGTGCTTGCCTATAATACAAAACATTGACAGTTAAGGGCCATAATTCAAATAAAATCTTTGACAGAATTACCTTCTCCTGGACATGTTTGGGAATCATGATTGTAAACAAGTATAGAAAAGTCGAGCTAAAAATCAATTACGATATAAATATATTTCTTCTTATGACAAGAAGTTATTGTTGTTAACATAAATTACAAGTTCAAGGGAAAATAATTCTGGAAAAAAATCACACTAGAGTTATGACCTTGTCACACAAAATGTGTGTAATGATAAGATATATATATTATAAGTTTGAAGTTACAAAAGATACCTTAAAAAGTAAAGAAGTTATAATATTTCTAAAAAATAAGTTTGAAGTTACAAAAGATACCTTAAAAAGTAAAGAAGTTATAATATTTCTAAAAAAAAATTCTAAGTTCAAAGGGAGATAAATCTAAAAATATTGCTTCAAGAGTTATGAACCTTGTCACATAAGATGTGGTTGATGATAGGAAAATGTTTTTGAAGTTTGAAGTAGATACCTTTAAACTTTAAACTTATAAAGAAGTTATAGTAACAAATAACATTTTTCAAGTAAAAAAATGTAAGTGAATGGGGAGATAAATCTGAAAATATTGGTGCTAGAGTTATGAACCTTGTCACATAAGATGTGGTTGATGATAAGGAACATATATTTGAAGTATCAAGTTGATCCCTTAAGAAATAAAGAAGTAACAGTAAAAAATAATATTTTTTAAGGAAAATTCTAAGTTCAAGGGGAGATAAATCTGAGCTAGAGTTATGAACCTTGTCACATAAGATGTGGTTGATGATAATTAACATATATTTGAAGTTTGAAGTTGATACCTTAAGAAATGAAAAAGTTATAGTGAAAAATATTTTACTGCACCAAAACTTTAATCTGAAATGTGGACGCGGATGCCGAAGCCATACTTCGTATAGTCGAGCTAAAAAACTAATATCAGTCCTAAATTCTTAGAATTGACTTTTATTAAAATTTCATCTCTTCCTTATTTTAATTTGATACTAGTTCTTTTCCACTTATTGGATACAGTGCTATTAATTTCTTTTATTTTTAGCTCATCTTTATCAGGAGTTTGAGTTACATTCCGGGTAGAGTTTAAAACTTATATGAATAACAGAGGTTTTAATTGTATAGGCACCATCTACACTTTCAAATTTACACAAATCTACAGGACATAAAAATCGCAGACAATTGGCAGCCCTGCAGGTTGCTATGGAAATTATTGATATATTGGTGGGAGTTAATTTAGCCTCAGGGCTATAATTATATCAAACTAAGTACTGGTCAACAATATAATGTTTCATGCCAAATATCTAAGCTCATTTACTATACTACCTTAAATATATCCATTCCTTCATCAAGTTGTTCTTTGCTGCCAGTGATAACATCTTTGCCAGCTATAGTGATAACTGGTTTGTCTGAATGCTGTACAAACACATAACTTTCAACGAGAGGTAGGATTTCTTCAGTATGGCCACAACTAAAATGTAAACACATGATTTAGAAAAATCCTAGAAAAAATACAGCAGTGTAACAAGGTGTTTGGTAAACATAAATGCCCCTGGTTCAGATTCTTTTCAGTAACAAAATGTTCAAACAGGTTTACCCATTCACTCAGTTATGGATGGAAACAATTGTAAACACAGTAATATAACTTGACAGAGCAATGTTCTCGTTATTGTGAAAAATATAAGTTGGCATGTCCTTGCTATTTGATAAGTTGAAATATTCAATTTACCAATAAAAGTTTATCAAATATATATAAATGCAAAAACTTGACCTTAATTCCAGTGACCCGAAACACCACTCCAAACTTACCACCTGAGGTATGTTCCTTCCAAATATGAGACATTAGTAAAACAAGAGGACCAAAATGGCCCCTATATCACTCAACTGATTATTTATGCTCTTTATTAATATTGTTAGCAATGAAGGAAAATCAGATGTCATAATCTTTAACTGATATCATAACGTTCAACTGAAACAGTGCAAAATTAATGTAAACATGCTTTTCCCATATATGGGATGTTACCTTCTCATATTCGAACTTGAGCTAGAAACCATCAAAACAACAACAGTTAGTTCCAAGAAAATTTGACAAACTGATAAGATATAGATCCTTACAGATGGATAGTGATTTATAACAATTACTCACTTTGAGCACATAGTGCTTTTTTGAGTTAAAAAGCTGACATTATACATGGATGATAGCAATCACAAAAGGTCAATCTTCTACATTGTGCCAGGCAAGCTTAAAAGATACAAGTATGCAAGCACTGTTTGATCAGTAAAATAGAAGATACAATGTGATAGTATATAAGATAACACTTACTGTACACTGGTACGAATATTAAGGTTTCTCCTTCCAGGTGTTGGGAATGGTCTATAATTGACATATGCCAACTTTTGTACTAGGGTTTCTATATCAGAAGCATTCTGGCCAGTAATACTAAACTCTGTCATGTCCTTATTGAAGCTCACAGACTGAAAATAGATCAAACATTCTTAATTTCATTTTATTTATTTGTATAGAAAACAAACATAACCCCAAAAATATAACAAGAGCTGTCCGTAAGACAGCGCGCTCGACTTTTTTATTGCTTGCCAATAAAAAAAGTTTTTGCAGTAAAAGGCAATACAAGAATCTCTGTATTTTTAAAGTGAACAATGGCCATAATTCAAATAAAATCTTTGACAGAATTACCTTCTCCTGGACATGTTTGGGAATCATGATTGTAAACAAGTATTCCAACTTTCAAATTAATATCTCAAACAGTTCAGTCAAAAAGTGGACTGGTACTAAAAACTTAACCAAGATTCTAAGTCGATAAAAGGCCTTAATTTTTAAAACAAATCCTTGACAGAGTTACCTTCTCTTGCGTACAGATGGGGGTAATGATGTGAAATAGCATTAAAAGTTTCAAAGCAATATCTCAAAGGGTTAAGGCAATAAGTGGATTTTACCCATATTCAATGTATTTTCTAAGTCAAAAAGGGGCATAATTCTGTCAAAAACCTTGACAGAGTTATGTCCTCTTGTCTGTTGATGAAGGTCGTGATGGTAAACAAGTATGGTCAGTTTCAAAGCAATACCTCCAATGGTTTTGAAATAAAGTGAGGTGGTACAAAAAACTTAACCAAGCTCAATACACTTTCTAAGTCAAAAAAGGGCCATAATTCTGTCAAAAAACCTTGACAGAGTTATGTACTCTTGTCTGTAGATGGAGGTTATGATGGTGAACAAGTATGGTAAGTTTCAAAGCCATACTTGTAATACTTCTGAAATAAAGTGGGGTGGTACGAAAAACTTAACCAAGGTGTGACGCCAACGCCGACGCCGACGCCGGGGCGAGTAGGATAGCTCCCCTTTTCATAGAAAAGTCAAGCTAAAAATTAAACTCCTGACCATCCAGCAACTGTTTTACTCATTGCTGGGTCACTGGGACATTTTCAGCATTTTAGCATATAAACAGGAGGGCCATAATTGCTCTAGACTGCTCAACTGAAATTTTAAGCCTTTGAGAAAATAGATCTGCCACTATCCTGGCAAAAATACCCCCTTCTCGCCACTTTCAGGGTTAAAGATAAACTCAACCCTTAACAAGTATGGATTAACTTACCCTACTATCAACAAGAATTACCAACGTCCCCTGTCTATGGAAAGTTTTACATGAAACACAAAATTGTGCTATTTCAAAAGATTGATTGGATCTGGACTTTCAATGCAAAATCTTGATCAATTCTAGGACTGCACAATCATGCAACAAAAAATTCATTATAGAAATATAATGAAATAACTCCTGTGTATGTGTCAACAGAAATGCATTTGTATAGTTGTTATCACAATTTCAAAACCACAAAATTTAACAAATACAAAATAAATACAGGGTATGGTCTGTGACAGGGTATATTTTTATGTCTAGTACGTAACTTTTGCATCTATCAAAGTATATGGAAGAATTACCAATGACATTTTATTTGCAAAATGGTTGAAAAAGTCATGGACCGGACACAATATATATTCTGTAACAGATCATTTTAAACTTTGACCTTCAAGTGTGACCTTGACATTGCTGGTACGGGTTTGGGTGTTGCCCATGACACATCTTATTATTGTGACCATTTGTGCCAAGTTATTTCATAATCCCTTGATCTATGAAAAAGTCATGGACTGGACATAAAATATATATAAGACCATGTTAAGTTTGGCCTTCAAGTGTGACCTGGACATCAAAGGTAGGCATCTTGGTGTTGCACTTGACACCTTGTCTCATTACTGTGAACATTGGTGCCAAGTATTTTCAAAATCCCTTGATGGATGAGAAAGTTATGGACCTGACACATAATATACCCTATAATAGACCATGGTGAAGTTCACAGTTCATGTATTTAAAAATGAAAAAATATGTATTCCTTTAGAAAGATCAAACATGTGTTTTATAATGTTTAAATTATCACTTTAGAGCTTGCTAGATGTTTGTTACTTGAAGCTAAATGTAAAATAATATGTCAAATATTAGCAAAATGTAAACTAAGTAGCATTTCGACTTCCATACTTTTATATACTGGTAGCTCTAACTACAACATGAGCCCCCACCTTGAGGGGGCCATGCTAGACTTTTTCTTATTTCTAACTATGGACATATGGACATTCAACCATCCTAAAAGCTCACCCTGAGCTAGCTAGGATTGTTGGTCTGGTTCAAGTGTTATGATTTTCCCGGCATTGAAATGAACCATATTCTTGCAGTCTTTGGCAGTATTATTTATGGGGATTGGAAGAGGGTGTTGATTAAAGCATCATATTTATCCCAGGTGGTGATACCAATCTTCAAATCAGGATCATTTATGGCAATCTTGGCCCAATTGTGACTGCAGCAGTTTTGGATAACTGTATGATACTGTTCAATGCTGTACTTTCAGTGTAGCATTTACCATTTCTGTTTTCCCTTTGGTTAAACACAAGATTTTTAAAGTTTTAACTAAAACTTATACATATAACAACCTATAACACCTGGGACAGGGCTAATTTTGATTCCAGAGCAAAAATTTGAACCAACTTGGAAGTTGTTAAATAGACAATATTTCATGCAAAATACTTAAGCTCTGGTCTTTGTGGATTCACAGGAAAATTGTCAACCTTTAGCTACATACAATTACATACAAGGAAAACCGATGATCTTCAGGCGAGACCAATTTTGAGTTCTGGCTAATAATTTGAATTAAGTTAGTACAAAGTCCCCCATACAATGTTTCATGCCACATATCTAATCTCTACCATACTGGGTTCAAAGTAGAAAATTTTGATAGACCCAAAAGATGATTTTTCATGGCAAAAATCAAAATTGTAGCCCTTGCTGCTTTGGAATAGATGTTCATGTTTTTTGTTCTATTGGTTGCCATGACAACCAGAGTTCTACAAGGAATGGAATTCTTTCAACTAACTTATAATAGCGTCATGTCTGAGGAATAATCTTGCTTAGTTTTACAAAAGTGTCGGTAGAAATGACATTTATAGAAAATGTTGGACACTGATGACGAGTTTATGCTAGCTCTCCATTTTATATACATGTATAATCAGTATATATTAAAGTAGAGCATTGGAAGTGTGAAGATGATTGTAGCAAAAGCCCAAATTTTCTTCCTAAAAAAAAGTGTGCTAAAAAATGTTCTTAGTAATCTGTTACACTTAATCTAACAATCGATTCAATTCAGCATGATTAAATAACTTGCTGTATCTATGCATGAAGCATAATTAAAAGGGAAAATAAATTAATGTAAAGAGTGCATGTTTGTGATTTCAGTAAAATAAAAAAAGATGATATAAACTTTGAACTGAATACTTACACTTCCACTTGGCATATCTTTTAGTTCTGTGAAATCTAGACTTTCTTGACATGAGTTGAGACACTGTATAACTCTCTCACTTTCTGTCCTATCCTTTAATATGGACAGTCCAGCTAGGAATCCTTGGAAATGGTCAACATATACTTCATCCAGGCCTGAAATAATCAATATAATGGATGAGAAAGCTAATATAAATAACTAATATCGCTCACCTCATAATTGAGGCAGAAATAAACTTACAAGAATTTGTAACAGAGTTACCAACGTCCCCCACCTCGGGGAATTTTTATACAAAGCATAAAATTGTGCTATTTCAAAAGATTGAGGTATGGATCTCAGGACTTTCAGTCCAAACTTATAATCAATGCTAGATCTGCAAATGCCACAATAAATTTATTAAAGAAATAAAATGAAAACGGAATTTAAAAATTTATCATGTAAACTTTGACCTCTAAGTGTGACCTTGACCTTAGAGGTAGGGGTGCAGGTGTTATGCATGACATATCGTCTTATTATTGTAACTATTTGTGCCAAGTATTTTCAAAATCCCTTGATCTATGAAGAAGTTATGGACAGGACACAAAATATACCATATAACAGACTGTTAACTTTTGACCTCTAAGTGTGACCTTGACCTTGGAGGTAGGGGTACAGGTGTTGTACTTGACATATCGTCTTACAATTGTGACTATTTGTGCCTAGTTATTTTAAAATCCCAAAGAAGTTCTTGATCGGACACAAAATATACCCTAAAACAGACTATGTTAATCTTTGACCTCCAAGTTTGACCTTGACCTTGGAGGTAGGTGACCAGTTGTTGCGCATGACACATCGTCTCATTATTGTGAACAATTGTGGCAAGTATTTACAAAATCCCTTCAAAGATAAGAAAGTTATGGACCAGACACGACATATACCCTCAAATAGACAATGTTGACCTTGAATGAGCAAGTGCGACCTTGACCTTGGAGGTAGAGGTCTGGTTGTTGCACATGACACATCGTCTTATTATAACAAACATTTGTGCCAAGTAATTTCAGATTCCTTTGATAAATGACAAAGTTATGGACCGGACACGAAAGTGTGACGGACGGACAGACGGACGTTCCAACATTTTTGATTTAGGGGCTATTTTCTTTGTTATTTTCTTTGTCTACTTAAGGGCTACTAGCCCATAAACCCTTTGATCACGGAATGAACCTATTGTTCTCTTTTGTTCTCTTTACTGTTATGTAGCACCTAAATCCACAATGTTTGCTTGGACAGACGGACGGACGGACAGACAGACAGACGGAGCCTATTTCTATATCCCCCTTTTTTCTTCGAAAAGGCGGGGCACAATAAACTGATATCATAACCTGAAATAGTGCAAATGTTAATAAGGTTTTTCAATATGTGCCTTTTTATGTTGGACCTATCTTTTGACCCATATGACCCATATTTAAACTTGAGCTAGATATGCCAAATATCTTACCTATGTCAATTCAGACAAGATCTTTATAGTTTTAACTCTGTTCATATAAGAAAATGACTCCCTGGGCGAGGCCAATTTTGACCCCAGGGCTATAGTTTGAACAATTTTTTGTAGAGTTTCATCAGATGATGCTGCACACAAAATATCTAAGCTCTAGGCCTTGCACTTTGAGAGAAGACTTTTTTAAGTTTTTACTCTGTACATATAAAGAAAATCAATGACCACCTTAGGTGAGGCTAATTTTGACCCTTGTGCTATAATTTGAACAATTTTTGTAGAGTTTCATTAGATGATGCTACACACAAATATCTAAGCTCTAGGCCTTGCATTTTGAGAGAAGATTTTATTTAAAAAAAAAAATATTTTTAGCCATTCTGACCCAGATGTTCAATGAAGCAGAACCATTTGAGCTTCATGCTAGGAACATCTCAGGAAAATTTTTATCAATTTTGATGCAGTGGTTTCTCAGAAGAAGTCGTTTGTAAAAGATTCACGACAGATGCAAGGACTCACGCCGGACAAATTGTGATCACAAAAGCTCACCTTGAATACTTTGTGAAATTATTCACAAGTAATCATAACATTAATAAACAAGAGGGCCATGATGGTCCTTTTATTGCTCACCTGATTATTAAAGATCTGAATTAATATTAATAGAAATGAATGAAGGGCAGATATAATGCCATCAACTGTAAACTAATATCATGACAATCAAATACAAAAATAGAGCAAATGTTAATGGGGTTTTCCATATAAGCCTTTTAATGTGCTGTGACCTATTTTTTACCCCAGATAACCTATTTTTAAACTGGAGGTAGAAATCAAATTCAAACAACCTTTCTGACTAATTTCCAGGACATTTGGACTAGAACAGTAGTCTCTAGAGTGTTAACAAGGTTTTTCTCTATTTTGGGTGTGTGACCTAGTTTTTTTTATCCAAGATGACCCATATTGGAACTTGAGCTAGAGACCACCAAAACAACCTTTCTGAGTAATTTCCAGGATATTTGAACCATAACAGTAGTATCTAGAGTGTTAACAAGGTTGACCTTTAACCAACCATGACCTTTTGTTTGTTTGTTTGTTTCATTTTACGCCTTTTTCCAACAGTATTTCAGTCATATAGGCGGGTAGTTTCCTAACCATCGCTCCTGGAGAGTTACACCAGTACTAGACTACCTTCCTCCGCGCTAAACTACCAAAGCATCTCCCGGGGATCGAACCCACGCCAGATAGGTAACTGGATTAGAAGTCATCGACTCTTACCCCTCGACCACGGAGGCGGTACAACCATGACCTTGATGTTGTGCCATGCATATTATAAGCACATAGTCTCATGATAGTAATTATTTGTGCAAAGTTATATAAAATCTTCCATAAAGTCAAAAAGCCATTGAGAACTATTAATCTTGACCTTGAGGGTAGCAACTTGGATGTTGGGTTCTGCATATCATGTCATAATGATGATCATTTCTGCCAAGTAATCTTTAAAACATAGCAGAGGTTTAAATGTTATGGAGCAGGCACAAAATGTAGTTTTTTTTTAACACTTGACCTTTAAGTGTGACCTTGACAATGGGAGAAGAAGGGCTCTGCACATCGTCTCATAATGTTGATCACTTAAGCCAAGTTATTTCAAGTTTTTTTCAGCGGCATGAAATGTAGACTTTTGAATACCTGACCTTTAAGTGTGACCTTGACCTTGAGGGTAGCAACCCAATTATTAAGCTCTGCACATCGTCATATAATGGTGATCATTGTGCCAAGTTATTTCAAACAAGAAGGCCAAAATTGCTCTAGATCACTCACCTAACCCATCAAACTCATCTGAGCAATTACTTAGACAAGCCTCCTGACCAAGTTTGATGATAATTGAATCAAAATGTGACCACTAGAGTGTTAACAAGGTCTTTCCATATTTGGGCAGGGTGACCTAGTTTTTGATCCCAGGTGACCCATATTCAAACTTGACCTAGAAATCATCAAAACAAACTTGCAGACCAGGATATTTGGATAACAACAGTAGCCACTAGTGTTGACAAGATTTTTCTATTTTTAGCTACTGTGACCTTGTTTTTCATCCGAGATGACCCATGTTCGAACTCATTCGAGCAATTACCTAAACAAGCATCCTGATGATTGAGGCAAAAATGTGACCACTAGTGTGTTAACAAATAAATGTCGATGGACAATAGACATTCAATGATCCTAAAAGCTCACCCTGAGCTAGCTCAAATGAGCTAAATATTTGAAGGGGTTTTAAAGTTATGGAGTGGACACAACAGTGTTACGGACGGACGCACAGAAAAACGGACAGATGGAGGCCATTCCTATAATTTTTAACACTTTCTTTAAGTGTGACCTTGACCTTGGGGGTAGCAACCCAATTATTGCATTCTGCACAGTCTCATAATGGTGATCACTTGTGTCAAGTTATTTCAAAAACATTTTTAGTGGTTTAAACATTATGGAGCAGAATATACACTTTTAACAATTGACCTTAAAGTGTGACCTTGGGTAACAACACAATTATTGCACTCTGCATATTGTCTCATAATGATGATCACTTGTGCCAAGTTATTTCAAAAAGTTTTCAGCGGTTTAAAAGTTATGGAGCGGACACGAAAGTGTTACTGACAGACGGAGGCCATTCTTGTAATCCCCGCCTCGCTACGCGGAGGGGGACGAACTAAGTGACCCCTTAGACTGGGACCAATTTTGACACAAGGGGCATGAATTATATAATTTGTCCACTTGGTGAAATGCTCCATTTCAATTTGCAGTTGACTAATGTATTTTGCTATATATGCCGTTGTTAACTAAGTGAAAACAAAGGAAGGGCCATTTAGACCCCAAGGGGCATGATTTATATAATTTTGTAGAGGACCACAAGGTGATGCTACATGCATGCCAAATATCTCACCTCTGGGCATTGTAGTTTCTGAGACGATTTTTAAAGATTTCATCTTTAAAGTATATTTATAGCTCCATTGACCTCCTACATGTATGCCACAGACTGGAACCATTTCAATAACTTTTGCACTGGACCACCTAAGAATCATTCCAGTGAAGTGTGGTCAAGTAGTCTAGGAGGAAATGTTGTTTATACTGCCATCACAAAAGCTCAGCACTAAGCACTTTGTGCTCACATGAGCAAAACAAGAGGGCCATGATGGCCCTGAAATCGCTCACCTGTATATAGGCCCTTGGGGTGGGGCTAATTTTGTGTGGTCAAGTAGTTTAGGAGGAAATGTTATTTATACTGCCATCACAAAGGCTCAGCACTAAGCACTTTGTGCTCACATGAGCAAAACAAGAGGGCCATGAATGCCCTGAAATCGCTCACCTGTATATAGGCCCTTGGGGTGGGGCTAATTTTAACCCAGGGGCTTTTTTTTTTAACAGACTTGGTAGACACCCATTAGAAGATGTTTCATGATAAATATCTAAGCTCTAGCTCTTTGGGGTTTTTAAAAGAAGATTTTTTAAGTTTTTAAATAGACATATAAGGAAAATCAGGTCCCTGGGGTGGGACCAATTTAACCCCGTGGCTTTTATTTGAACAAATTTGGTTGATACTCACTAGAAGATGTTTCATGCTTAATATCTAAGCTCTAGCTCTATGGGTTATTTAAAAAAAGATTTTTTATATTTTTACTATATACATATAAGGAAAATCAATGACTCCCCCCGGGATGTGGCTAATTTTAACCCCAGGGCCCTTATTTGAACAAATATGGTAGACACCTATAAGATGTTTCATGCTAAATATATGAGCTCTAGCTCTTAGGGTTTTTTAAGAGAAGATTTTTTAAGTTTTTACTATAAACATATAAGGAAAATCAATGACCCCCCGCCCCCCATAAACATTGTGTTTACCCATGGTGTGTAGAGTTTAAATTGCAACAAATATTCTTAATGTGTACTCAACACATGTTTATTTTACATTTAAAAAGACAGTATAGCAATTATCAATATTTTCAATAATGAATTTGAGCATTATATATTTTAAGGACATTTTAAGGCTGTCAAACCCTGAGGTAGTATGAATCAGTAGAAATATTTAACTGTAAGTAACTATTTATTTCTCACCCATTACATTTTTCCAACCATATAGAAGTCTCTATCCAAGACATAAATTTTTTATGTTCATTTTTTATAATTAGGTCTAACCTTTTCTTTGAACAACACTAAGATAATATTTTCAGATAGATTTAATATGTATTACCTTTCCAGCATGCTCCCACTACCAGTTTAGTAAAGTGTACCCTATCAGTGGGATGGAGTGGCCAGTCATCTAATATCTCAAAATTTTCATTGGTTGTTTCTGCCAACTGACCATCTACATACAAGCTTAACTGTAAATAATCAATCAAATATTTCAAAATATATTTCTGTGCATAGATTAAATATGAAACAAATAAACTCGTAATACTATTTTTCACACAACAGTCTAACTTGCCCATGAGAACATGTGTAATAAGCGAGTTTTGTCTTATGCAAACACTGTAAATTCCCCAGATCATTTTCTCTCTATATCTTTAAAGTGTTAAGTGACTTTTGCTCAACACAACTAGTGACCTCTAATTAGTCAGATAATTGTGGTCAATCTTTTTCATCGAGTTAACAACTTAAAAATTTCCAAAACCAGTAGCTTATGCAAATAAAGTAAAGTATACGCATGATGTGTATTATCCAATAAAATCGATAAAACTAATCAAAGTTCCGCCCCTACTTTGATGGTATATACCATTCTCTGTTGATATTAAAACCGCATTGAATTTACCTTGAACTTGAAAATAAATCTATGTATTTAGACATAGATTGTTTATTTTTAATAAAAAATGCACAAAACTTATGAATGGGAAAAAGAAACAAGAGGGCCATGATGCCCCTGAGTCGCTCACCAGAAACAACTGCTTTTCAGTGTTGGAAATTATCCATTGTCAATATATTCTAATATTAAATTTGAGCATAGAATATGTTTAAACAATAATTTGAAGAAATGCCATGATCAGGGGCATTTAGCTTTTTAGCTTAAACGGGGCCGATCAAATTAATATTAGCAAACTTAATAAAAGACTACCTAAGAATGCTACAAAGTTTGGTGACCATCTATAAATTATTTCAGTAGGAAATGATGTTCAAAGGTTATCAATTATTTCAGTAGGAAATGATGTTCAAAGGTTTTTCTATTTTTGGTTTTAGTGCCCCTAAAAGAAGCCAATCAAATAAATATGAGCAAACTTGATAAAAGACTACTCAAGAATGCTACAGACAAAGTTTGGTGACCATCGATCAATTAGTTCTGTAGAAGAAGATGTTTAAAGGTTTTTCTATTTTTAGCCCAAGAGACCCCTAAAAGGGGCCAATCGGTTTAATATGAGCAAACTTGATATAAAACTATCCAAAAATGCTACAGACAAAGTTTGGTGATCCATCAATAAGTTCTGTAGAAAAAGATATCTAAAGGTTTTTCTATTTTAGCCCTAGAGACCCCTAAAAGGGGCCAATCAAAATTGGCGGAGCATTATATGCCCGAAAGTGATTTTTTTTTTAGTAAAGAAGAAGCATTTGTAAGACATGGGAATTAAATAAAGTATTACCTCCTTCACAAAACAATCCTCCTTTGAAGTTTCAATATTGTGGTCCAAATGGAACTAAAGTTATGCCCCGGAAACTGTTTTCAGTTCTAAGGTCATAGTGACCTTGACCTTTGACCTTGTGACCCCAAAATCAATAGGTGTCTTCTACCCAATATGGACAATCATACTATGAAGTTTAAACACAGTGGGCCAAATGAAACTTAAGTTATGTTCCGACAACTGTTTTCAGTTTAAGGTAATAGTGACCTTGACCTTGTGACCCCAAATCAATAGCAGTCTTCTACCTAATATGGACAATCATCCTATGAAGTTTGAATATTGTGGGCCAAATGGAACTTAAGTTATGCTCAAGAAACTGTTTTCAATTTCTAAGTAATAGTGACCTTGACCTTTGACCTTGTGACCCCAAAATCAATAGGGGTCTTCTACCCAATATGGACAATCATCCTATCAAATTTGAACACTCTTGGCCAAATGGAACTTAAGTTATTCTCCGGAAACTGTTTTCAGTTTTAAGGTCATAGTGACCTTGACTTTTGACCATGTGACCCCAAAATCAATAGGGGTCTTCTACCCAATATGGACAATCATCCTATGAAGTTTGAATATTGTGGGCCAAATGGAACTTAAGTTATGCTCCGGAAACCAAATTGCTAACGGACGGACGGACAGACGGACGGACGGACGCCAGGGGGTATAACATAATATGCCTGAAATTCTTTCGGGCTTATAAAAACTTGATAAAAGACTACCCAAGAATGCTACAGACAAAGTTTGGTGATCATCCATCAATTAGTTCTGTAGTAGAAGATGTTTAAAGATAAACTATGCTCATCTTTGGGTAAAATACTTTTATCTTAGAAAAGTATTGAAATCCATGAAAGTCTTACTGAATATGTTTAATTTCAATAAAATAATGAATAAACTATATATAGGAAGCTGCATTCCCTATAACAGGTCATTTTAAGTTGGTCTTTTCTTCAAAAAAACTGCCAGTTTTTTTTAATGACCCACTATATATTCATATTGTGACCACCTATAGTGTGTAGAGTTCAAAACATATCTACTTTAAATGAAGTCAAAACATGTTTATTTTATACATACAAAGAGACTGTGTAGCAATTATCAATATTTTTAAAAAACAAATTTGAGCATAGTATATCTTTAAAGGTTTTTCTATTTTTATCTCTGTTGACCCCTAAAAGGGGCCAATTGAAATGACACGAGCAAATTCAAGCGTGACTGTCACAAGGATGGTACTGACCAAATTTGAAGTAAATCTGCTCAGCAGTTTCAGAGGAGACGATTGTTGATGCATGACGAAGCATCCCCCTTTGATACTAATAGTGGTGAGCAAAAAAAAGAGGAGCTTAAAAATCATGGAAAAATATCAAATATTCAAGTAATGCATTAAAACTTTTGTCAACACTGCAGTATATATCCGAAAGTTGTTTCTTTATTCTAGCTGTGATTTAGATTATCGGAGGGTAATAACATTTAAAGAAATGAACTGGACGCCTCCCCTCCCCCCAACTGCAAAGGAAAGATATCATATCATAAATAAATTTGACTTTTTCTTATTCTTAAGAAACTAATGTATTAAACAACCAATTTTATTGTTTCCCCTGCAAGTTTGACTGTATTTTACTTTACTGGTAGATGTAGAATGGTAGAGCTTTATGCAAGGAATATTGCAGATGAGTTCCAGTGGTTTCAAAGGAGATGTCAGTTGAATGAATAGTTGATGACAAATAGGTTTCAGTGAGAAATTTGAAATTTAAATGAAATGGTATTCTTCCTGTAGTTCTATGAAAACTAAACCTTCAAGAAATGTAGGAGCTGTACATAGACAAAACTGCCAATATATACTGTTAGGAACAAATGTTATAAACAAAAGCATCACATGCTCTAAATTCCGAAAAATATTGCTTTTAGGAAAATGAAATTTGTTTAAAAACTGTTCCCGTTTGCATTTTTTCAGCCCTTTCAATCAAACTTCTGATAAGGACGTCAAACATGATAATAAGGATGCCAAGAATGGATAAGGTTTTGGTTTAACCAACATTAAGAAACTAAACATGTCAACAAATAGTAAATTAATGCTGAGAAATGGGCTACAGTTAAGTTTTTGCAATACAACAATGACGATGATGCAGCAATCCTAATAGATTGACTTTTTCTTTAAAACAGACAATCTAACTAGAAAGGTGTCCATTGACATGAATGTCCCAACATTGCACTCTTTGTAAGTCTATGGACGGACAGCAGGAGAGCAGAGTGAATGGACAAGAGAAATATATATGCTAGGGGCATGAACATTGTAGACATTTAGACACTGCACAGCACCTCATTCTGATAATTGGTCTTAAAATAAATAATATCCCGCAAATTGAAGTCCAAGGTGCCATTATTCATAAAGTTTTTGTCAAATTTCCCTGATACACCTCTTAAAATATCATAACATAATATCAAACTTACATCAGGGAAATCCATGCTTATAGCATAGTGATGCCATTCTCCATCATTGACCTGATCAAGATTCCAGCGCCATTCAGCAGGCTTAAACACTTCAAGATCTTTGGAATCCTCGCTCTCTCTCCGTAATACAAACACCAACTTCGTGTTATGAACATATAGGGCATAATGGTGACGATTCATTCCTGTAACAATTATTATAAATCAAATATAAGTGTTGTGTTACAAATTTCTACATAATGTTTATATTCTTGGACATTTTTATTCTTTAAGTTTTTGGTTTGGGTTTTAGATAAAAGCACTCTGAAATAGACGGTTGTAATTTCTAATTCATACAAGTCACTTTAATACAAACTTAATGTTAATATTTTCAAAAAGAAAATCAGGATACTTAATCCAAACTCCTGTAGGGTTTACACACAATATTTTAAGTGAAGTATGAAGGCTATATAAAATATGTGACCCCAGATTGGGTCAATATTTCCCCAAGTAGTCCATAGGTTCAAAAGAGGCAGACCAGACACAGAAACTGCTAATAGATAGATGGACAGATGACCAGGTGCATAACATTATACACCAAAAGATTTTGGGTGTACAATAAACAGAAGGGCCATGATGGCCCTGAAATCGCTCACCTGTATATAGGTCCTTTGGGCCAGGCTAATTTTAACCCAGGAGCTTTTTTTAATCAATCTGGTAGACACCCATTAGAAGATGTTTTATGATAAATATCTAAGCTCTAGCTCTTTGGGGTTTTTAAAAGAAGATTTTTTAAGTTTTTACTATAATCAGACCCCCGGTGCAGGGTCGATTTAACCCTGGGCTTTTATTTGAACAAATTTGGTAGACACTCACTAGAAGATGTTTCATGCTTAATCTCTTAGCTCTATGGGTTATTCAAAGTTTTTACTATAGACGTGTAAGGAAAATCAGACCCCCTGGGCAAGGCTAATTTTACCCTGGGGCTTTTATTTGAACAAATTTTGTAGACACTCACTGGAAGATGTTTCATGCTTAACATCTAAGCTCTAGCTCTATGGGTTATTTAAAAGAAGATTTTTTAAGGAAAATCTGGACCCTGGCGGTGTGGCCAATTTTCACCACAGGGATTTTATTTGAACAAACTTGTTAGACACTCACTAGAAGATGTTTCATGCCAAATATCTAAGCTCTAGCTCTTTGGGTTTTTTATGAGAAGACGTTTTAAGTTTAACTTTATACATATAAGGAAAAGCAATGACCCCCTGGGGCCGGGCCAATTTTGACCCCAGGGCAAATTTGAACAAACTTGATAGACACTCACTTGAAGATGTTTCATGCCAAATATCTAAGCTCTAGCTCTTTGGATTTAAAAAGAAGATATTTTTAGTTTTTCTTTTGGTTGCAGTGGCAACCAGAGTTCTGCATGGAATTAAATTGAACAACTTTTAAAGGTGACCACCAGAGGTTTATGAGGAGATGTCGTTTAAAGTAAAAGTTTACGGACGGACAGACATCCGACCGAATAGGGATAAAGGGCCATTTCAATTGTTATTTTCTTTTCATTAATAGAGGGCCATGGCCCCTTATTCTATTGTTACGAAATGAATTCTATTGTTCTCTTTTGTTCTGTTTACAGTTAGATGGCCCCGTATCCCTATTGGGTAGTGCGGACAGACTGACGCCGGACAAAAAGCGATCACAAAAGCTCACCATGTTACTTTGTGACAGGTGAGCTGAAAAAAACATGAATAACTTACCATCACCATCAGACATGCACAGTAAATGTTCTTTGTTTCCCTTCTTATGACTGCTCACAACAGTATTAGGGTAAGTGTGTTTCATCCATGTGGAGATAGTGAAATGCCTTCTTAGTTTGTGATCAATATGATTGTTTGGAACTTCTACAGCAATATCCACCCCATTAAACATATAAACTTTGTCCCCATCATGACCATCATCTGTTGGTATGGCATTGGTCCAGTTAGATGTCAAAGATGGTGTAGGTAAAAGATCAACACTGTCTTCATTTGCTCCTACAAATAATCATATACTTAATTTATCACTTCAGAAAGTTCAGAAATAAGATTCCTGCAGGGGGAAGGTAACAAATTTGGAATCTTATCCAGCTATCAAAACTGTATTGCTTCAGATACTGAATAGTACTAAACACTGTAAATTAGCATTTTTTTCAGTAACATCATTTGATCCTTTCTCTACCTTGATTATATATTTTTCAGCAAAGGTCAATTAGGACAATATTAATGATTATTACCCCTCACTTTTTTGTAATGTCCATATCCCAATGGCCATTGTGAGCAATTCTTACTGTAAATTTAAGTATACCACATGACTGAAAATTTTGTACTGTTACATATTTCCCAGTAAACAAGAGCTGTCACAGGAGACAGCCAAGCTCGACTAATAAAATACTGGACGCAGTAAGGAGGATAAAACTATGAAAGAAAAATCAATTATGTATAATTATGTATTAAGTTATAGTAAAAAAATAACATTTGTTAAAATAAATTCCAAGATCATGAGGAGATAATTCTTGCAATATTGGTGCTAGAGTTATGAACCTTGTCACATAAGATGTGGATGATGATAAGGTACATTTATTTGAAGTATGAAGTTGATCCCTTTAGAAATAAATAAGTTACAGTAAAAATTAATATTTTTTAAAGAAAATTCTAAGTTCAAGGGGAGATAAATCTGAAAATATTGGTGCTAAAGTTATGAACCTTGTCACATAAGATGGGGATGATGATAAGGTACATATATTTGAAGTATGAGGTTGATCCCTTAAATAATAAAGAAGTAACAGTAAAAAATAGTATTTTTTAAGGAAAATTCTAAGTTCAAGGGGAGATAAATCTGAAAATATTGGTGCTAGAGTTATGAACCTTGTCACATAAGATGTGGTTGATGATAAGGAACATATATTTGAAGTTTGAAGTTGATACCTTAAGAAATGACAAAGTTATAGTGAAAAATATTTTACTGCACCAAAACTTTAATCTGAAATCTGGACGCGGACACGGACGCCGACGCCGGGGCGAGTAGGACAGCTCTTCTTATACTTCGTATAGTCGAGCTAAAAACATTTAGAAACAGTCATGACCTCAAATGTTTCATAAATATCTCTGAAAAGCAAACATCTCTCTTGCTAGAGGTCATGATATAAAGACCATTGAACTATTTTTAGACAAGTCTTACAAGAGCTGTCGGTAGGACAGCAACGCTCGACTATTCTTAGTGCTTGATAGTAAAAGACCCTTGATAATGTAAAATTTTCTCAAATTTTTTCCTTAAATCCATGTTACTGTTATAGGCCTTGGAGAGGGTCCTATTATGCTCTCAAAGAAGAGTATAAAATTTCAACTTGTTTCAAATCCAGATGTCAATAGAATATGAAAATATCTGAGGTGGTATGCAAACTATAATGTAAATTCTAATGAAAATTCTAAGTTGAACAAGATTGCATTTGAGAAAAATGCTATGCCACCGCATGGTTCAAATTTCATAGCTGTACATCAAAGGACAAGAAAGTAGGTCACATCATCAAAATCTAAGTCACCTGATATCAAAGTTCAATTTTACAACTAAAACTGTGCACATGGTCAAAATGTCGTTGCTGTACATCAAAGGACAAGGAAGTAGGTCACTGTCCCCTTGGGCAAGGCATAATTTTGACCTAAGGGTTTAATTCAAAACAATTTTGATACAGGTTCACCAAACAACATTTCAAGTCAAATATCTAAGCTATAGCTTTCTCCCATTCAGAAAACATTTGTTTTATTTTCTGTTTTTACTATGTGTACATAATGAGAATCACTGCCCCGGGGCAGGGCCAATTTTGACACCAGGGGAAAAATTTGGTAGAGGACCTATAAATGATATTATATATCAAACATCAAAGCTCTATGCCTTGTACCTTCAGACAAAAATATTTTTTTATTTTTCACTATATGTACATAATGAAAATCAATGACCCCGGGGCGGAACCAATTTTGACCCCAGGGCTATAATTTGAACAATTTGCAAGAGGTTCACTACACAATGTTTCATGCAAAATATCTTAACTCTAGCCATTGTAAATTTAGAGAAGATGATTTTTTAAGTTTTTACTATATACATATAAGGAAAACCTATGGCCCCCGGGGGGGGGGGGGGGGGGCTAATTTTGACACAAGAGGCAAAATTTGAATAACTTTTGTAGAGTACCTTTAGATGATATTATTTAACAAATATTAAAGCTCTAAGCCTTGTACCTTCAGACAATAAGATTTTTTATTTTTTACTATATGTATATATTGAAATCAATGACCCCCAGGGCGGGGCAATTTTGACCCCAGGGCTATAATTTAAACAATCTTGCTAGAGGTTTACTTCACAATGTTTCATGCAAAATATCTAACCTCTAGCATTTGTCAATTGCTAGAAGATTTTTTTTTGAAGTTTTTACTATAAGTTTTTACTATATACATATAACGAAAACCAATGACCCCCGGGGCGTGGCCGATTTTGACCCCAGAGCTATAATTTGAACAATCTGGGTAGAGGTCTACCAGACAATGCCTTATGCAAAATATCTAAGCTCTAGGCCTTTTGGATCTTTACAAGAAGGTGTTTTAAGTTTTTACTATATATACATATAGGGAAAATCAATGACCCAGGGGCGGGGCCGATTTTGACCCAAAGGCTATAATTTGAACAATCTTGGTAAGGGTCTACCAGACGATGCCTTATGCAAAATATCTAAGCTCTAATTCTTTTTGGTTTTTACAAGAAGGTATTTTAAGTTTTTACTATATGTACATGTATATAGTGAAAATCAATGACCCCCGGGGCGGGGCCAATTTTGACCCCAGGGCTATAATTTGAACAATCTTGTTAGAGGTCTACCAGACAATGCCTTATGCAAAATATCTAAGCTCTAGGCCTTTTGGGTCTTTACAAGAAGATTTTTAAAATTTATTCTTATAATTCCTTTTGGTTGCCATGGCAACCAGATTTCTGCATGGAATGAAATTCTTTGAACAACTTTGGAAGCCCTTCACCCAAGGAACAATCCTGCCAAGTTTGGTTGAAATTGGACTAGTGGTTTTTCACAAGAAGATTTTTTAAGTTCACTATATAATCTATATAACACACACACAAACACACACACTAACACACACACACACAGGTGAATCGCTATATGCCACCGCATCGCAGATGCTGCGGTGGCATAAAAAGGGGCATTATTCTGTCAAAATGCTTCATAGAGTTATCTCTTCCTGTCTACATGTTGGTCTCATGATGGTTGACAAGTGTGCAAAGTTTCAAAGCTATATGTCAATGGACTTTGAAAATATTTGAAGTATTACAAAAACTTTAACATAAATTCAAACTAACATAAAGTCAAACTGGAACTATCGCTAAATGTGATTAATACCCCCACAAGGCTGCCTCGGAAATGAGGAAGTTACTAGTAACAGAATACCTTGCAAAAGAACTGAAATAGAGTTATGCTCCAGACAAGGGACAATAACTTGTAATTTGTCAAAATGGTGTTATTGTTCTTGTGCACTGCACTTCCTCTAAATAAGCTTGTAGATTGTATAAAGTTGTATTGAATTCAAAGTAGTTTTCAAGTTATGCTCCGGACAAGGAAAAGTAACAAAGGGCAATAACTCTGTAATGTGTCAAAATGGAGTTATGGTTCTTGTGTACTGCACTTTCTCTCAATGTCCTTGATCATTTTATGAAGTAGTATTGAATTCCAACCATTAGTCTTCAAGTTATGCTTTGGACAAAAGAAAGCAATAGAAAAGTGACAAAGGGCAATTACTCTGTAATTACTTAAGATAGACTTATTGTTCTTGTGCACTGCATTCCTCTTATTGTGCTTGACCATTGTATGAAGTCGTTTTGAATTCCAACTAGTAGTTATCAAGTTATGCTTCGGACAAGGAAAAGTAACAAAGGGCAATAACTCTGTAATTAGTGAAGATGGAGTTATGGTTCTTGTGCACTGCACTTCCTCTTATTGTGCTTGACCATTGTATGAAGTTGTATTGAATTCCAACCATTAGTCTTCAAGTTATGCTCCAGACAAGGAAAATGCAACGGACGGCTGGACCGACCAACCAACCAACCACCGAATGACTCCTATATACCCACCAAACTTCGTTTCGGGGGTATAAAAAGGGGCATAATTCTGTCAAAATGCTTGATACAGTTACCTCCTCCTGTCTACAGGTTGGGGTCATGATGGTGAACGAGTGTGCAAAGTTTCAAAACCAGTTGTCAATGGACTTTGGAAATATTTGAGGTATTACAAAAACTTTAACATAAGTGGTCACACAGACACAGACGCTCGGGTGACTACGATAGCTCTACTTATTCTCATCGAATAGTCTAGCTAAAAAATATCATAACATGTGCACATGCATGACAGACATTCCAATATGAGTTGTTTACCTTTCATCGGATGCTCCGGTGGCATTATAAAAGTATCATGACCAATGTTTTAAGTTTTGGGCTGGCAACACACTTACCAACTTTCGCTATATATATATATGCAGTATTTCAATAGAGCGGAAGTCAGTGCGTGAGCATGCCCTTTGCCATATCTCATTCAGTTACCGTTCACATTTTCAGCGTGGTTGCTATGAAACGTCATGGGTCCAGCTGCTGCTACACTTAGTGTACATGGCTTACATGGCTTTAAAACTGATATATTAGTCAAACAAATTAAAACAACACACATAAACTATACATAGTTGTTTTCCATAGTAATATTTTGCATTTTCAACTAATAGTCAAACAAATATCTCAATATTCTTTCCCATTTATTATATTGTTTACATGTGATGACAGCTAGTTAGCAGGCGAACGCTGTGTAAGATTACTTCCGATCCAGAAAATTCCCTTGTTTACCATAAAAACTCATATGTTTACCATAGCAACCATTTGTATATAGAAAATAAATTATATAAGGTTAATGAAAAAATTGTCAGTTACTTGACAAACAATCAAATTAATAAATACAAAGTCTTAAGAAAAGGTCCCTTCTTTGAGTTCATTTAAAAGGGGAATAATTTTGCAGAATTTTAGACAGGGAAACATGAGTTATTATTCGTGGCTAGTGAATATGGCCAACTGAAATCATGCAAGCGAGTTTGTAAGTGCAACAGCAATGTCAACATGAATGTAGCAATATTTCTTTTTTCTTCGAAAAGATTGAAGCTCAAATCAAGCAAAATTCAAACATCAAGGTCATTTATGAGTGGAGGCCAAGTTCAGTCCACTCAACTTGAAGGTCTTGTCCTTGGCAACAGCAATGTCAAAGACAACATGACTGTAGCAAAAGCTCTTTTTTCTTCTTAAAAAAACAACAAAAAACGAGCTAATAATTATGGAGCAGATTTTGTTGGTTTTTCTATTTTTAGCTCTGGCAGCCATCTTGTTTAGCAGACTGGAACAGTAAAGAACTGCCAAATGAACATTTCTGTACAGTTTTATCAAAATCTATTGAGGACAAGATGTCATTGAACAGTTTTTTCTATTTTAAGCACCGGTGACCATATTGTTTAAAAGACCAAAACCATCTTAGCAATTTGCATCAAGGCCAATCTAAGGATCATTCCTGTATAGTTTCTGTAAAATTCTATCAAACAGTTAAGAGATGTCATTGAAAGGTATTTCTATTTTTAGCTCTGGTAGCCATCTTGTTCAGCAGACAAGATCCATTTGAGCATTTTTTGGAGGGGACCATCGAAGGATCATTCCTGTATTGTGTGTCACTATTGGTGTAGGGGTTTAGAAATTTTGTCCGTCCTGTCATTAGAAGGAAGGGTTTTTATACAGGAGGGCCTTTGTGCATTTCCCGATTGACACATATCACCCGAGCAGGTGACAAAGTACAGTACAATAATGTGACTTCTTTGTTCATTAAGTTTTTATCATCTTCATTATTTTGGAAATAAGAAAGACTGCACAAACTTACTATTTATGCCATTTGTGTAAAATTTCATGGCAGCAAATTTAAATGACTTCACAGTACATGTAATCAATGTTGGACTGAAGTCATAAAATGGATGACATGCATTTATAATAATAATATAACAATGGCATACAAACCACAGAGCTTCCTTTGTGATGTAATGCTGTATGTATCCCTGTCACAGCCTTTGCCAATATGTTTTGTCTGCAAGTTAAGTCGCGTGCTGATATGGTCTGGTACGCATTTTCTGTCACAGATTTGGAGATGCGCATTATTAGTTAGCTGTTTATGACCTGATCCGGGTGTGTATTCTATATGATCTGGGAAATCTGTAAAGAAACAAGATGACCATGCTGAAAATCTATTTTCAGTGGTGATTACCTTGACCCCAGCAACCATAAATGCCAGAGAAAACCAAAGCCATATGACAAATTTGGACAAAGGCAGAAAATCCTAACTTGAGATTGACTTTTTCGACACTGAAGAAAGCCAGGGTTTCCACAAACCAGGGAACACAGAATTCCCTGACATATCCTTCACATAATTTCGAATTTCCCTAACATATTTCAAAGCTATTATTGCACATTCTATTTTTTTATGTAATATTATCAAACTTGAACACCAAATGGGTGGGGCAATATACTTCAACATGTATATCTATTGTATTGATTGAAAACAAAATGTGTTTGCAAAACATGTATGCATCGTTTCAACCTATAAGGTTAATGTGATCTTGACCTCTGACTCCTTGACCCCAAAAATCTGATGAAATCAACTTCTGACCCAAAACAATGCATTTGAGACAGGGTTAATGTTTAAAGGGGCATCTACTAGTTATGACAAATCACTATGTGAAATTATGTGAAATATGAAGACTTTGTGATGAATACTTTTGAAGATAATCAGCAGAAACCATTTTGACATTTAAGGCCCCTGTGACCTTGACCTTTGACCTAGTGACCCATTAATCAATAGGGGTCATCTACTAGTTATGACTAATCTCTATGTGAAATATGAAGACTTTGTGATAAATTGTTTTCAAGATAATCAGCGGAAACCATTTGGTCTACCGATGAACAGACAGACAGACAGACATTAGCAAAACAATATACCCCCTCTTCTTCGAAGGGGGGCATAATAAATAACAAAGTTATAGCCTGTTAAAGAAAAATACAAGAGAGTTGACAATCAAGGTCAACTTAAGGTCAAGGTCACATCTAAATTATTTAATATGTTTGTTGGTAGCAAGTCTGTTTTGTCTAGTTTAAATATCCTGTATGTTGTAATAATAAATTACGGATGTAACAACACTTTTATTCTTCTAAAACAATTTCCAAACATCCAAAAATTTCATAGGTGACATGTACAATTACCAATTAATGGTAGCATGCTTTGTGTATCTGAGCAGGTGTGTCAATTTCGTATCAGCACTGAGATCAAGGAGTGTTGTTTAAACAAACATTAGCAGCAGTAGGCGAAGCATTATATGACCGAAAGTGTTTTTTTTAGTAAGGATGACACATTTGTAAGACATTACATAAATTAAATAAAGTATTACCTCCTTCAAAGAGCAATCTTCCTATAAAGTTTGAATATTGTGGGCCAAATGGAACTTAAGTTATGCTCTGGAAACTGTTTTCAGTTTTGAGGTAATAACAACCTTTAACTTTGACCTTGTGACCCCAAAATCAATAGGGGTCTTCTACCCAATATGGACAATTAACCTATGAAGTTTGAACACTATGGGCCAAATAGAAATTAAGTTATGTTCTGGAAACTGTTTTCAGTTTTAAAGTAATAGTGACCTTGGCCTTTGACCTTGTGACCCCAAAATCAATAAGGGTGTTCTACCCAATATAGACAATCATCCTAATAAGTTTGAATATTGTGGGCCAAATAGACCTTAAGTTATGCTCTGGAAACTGTTTTCAGTTTTAAGGTAATAGTGACCTTAACCTTTGACCTTGTGCCCCAAAATCAATAGGGGTCTTCTACCCAATATGGACAATCATCCTATGAAGTTTGAATATTGTTGGCCAAATGGAACTTAAGTTATGCTACGGAAACTGTTTTTAGTTTTAAAGTAATAGTGACTTTGACCTTGTGGCCCTGTGAGTGCGGACAGACGCCAGGGGGTATAACATAATATGCCAGAAATTCTTTCGGGCATATAATAAAAAACCATATAGCTTAATGAAAAATATTGTTTTTTTAGTATTCACACCTAAATACATAAAGTACAGAGTATCTAAGATACAGATGCAAGCCATTCTTACCTGTCCAGCCATTCTTACAGATTTCTTTTACATCAATGTTGATAAATGCTGGAGCAGAAACCATACCAGCACAGTCTCTAGCTACCACTTTCACTATAAAGTTATACCTCTCCTTATGGCTTATCTTCTCTGTATTCTTCAAATTGCCTAAAAAAATAATGCTAATTATGCATTCAGTAAAACCATGACTAAACAATACAAGATTGCATTTGTGAAACAAGAGCTCCGCTAGGGGAAATATACAGTAAAATTTTGCTCGTTTGGACTCGGATCCCTCGAATACCTCCTTTTGCTTGGACTAAGCATGCGGTCCCAGCGGAATCCATATGAGATATATGGTTCTACATTGGATGGCTTGAACACAGAACACTCAAATTCTCCAACCTGATCTTTGATCCTTCAAGTATGAAGACAATATATCAAGAACTTAAAAAGTTATGGTCAAGGTTAAAGTTTGTGGACATCAACATGACTGTAACAATGCCATAACTCTGACAAACATCATGAATCTGAAAAATGCTGTCACTGATAATATGCACAACTAGACATATTACTGATCTTTCCTGTAAAGTTTGGAGTAATTTTTGAGGAGAGGTCCAGACAAGTTTTGTGACAGACAGACTGATGGACATAGAAACATTTGGGTACTTGGCTATGCTTGACTTTCCTTATTTCAAACAAGTGTTTTTTTCTGCGGTGACTTTATTTCTGCGTTTCCTGCAGTCAGTTTCAGCACCGCAGAAATATAAACTGCAGAATATTTCCCTAACCTGCTACGATATGTGTCCTACATTGTGACCTGTTTCGTCTAAAGTAATAACGACTTACAGAATATAACGGTTAGCGGGTTTTCAATTGCTGTCGGCTGTAAGTATGTAATCTGTGTTTGTAAGGATATTATGCTAATTTAAGAATAAAGATATTTCAAACCATTCCAACCCTTATACTGCTAAATAATCGTTGTATACTTAAATTGTCATCTGATTTACATTAAACTTTTATCAATTTTATTAAATTAAAGATACTACCAGAGTATATTTTTCACACATCATTTCACGTGATCAAAGATGCATACCTTTCTATTGTTGCGCATTATATTTGTTTGCAAGCAAACAATATAATTGATTGGAATTACTATACAGTTTTCCAGTGACGATGATAAACAAATGCAAACGTGTACATGCAAAAAAAATAATAAAATAGGTAGATTAATGTGACTTAGACTTTTATAAGATGAGTCGCAGAATTTAAATCACGTTTTGTCCAAAGAATGTGCCGCAGAAATTAAGTCCGCAGAAATAAAAACATGCCAAAATTAGGAGCCCGCAGAAAAAACCACTTATATGTACATAGGAGAACGGATAATTTGAACACACAAAAACAGCCAATAATAACACTATATGCCACCAAAACAACCAATTTTGTTGTTTGTGCTGACATTGAACTTTGTGCATTTTAATTTGTCTGTTGATGGCAAGTATGGTATAAGTCCTTAATTGCACCAATCAGTTAAAGTGTGCCTAATATTTAAATATCATATGCAATAAATGTTATTAAAGCCACTGACCTCCAGATGGTAAAATGAAACAAGAGGGCCATGATGGCCCTAAGGTCGCTCACCTGTATGTAGGCCCCCAGAGCGGGGCCAGTTTAAACCCCAAGGCTTTTATTTGAACAAACTTGGAAGACACCTATAAGAAGACGTTTCATGATGTACACACTTATAATGAAAAACAATGATCTGCCCTCCCCTACCCCCGGCAGGGCCAATTTTAACCAAGGGCTTTTATTTGAACAAACTTGGTAGACACCCATAAGAAGATGTTTCATGCTAAACATCTAAGCTGTAGCTCATTGTGTTTTTTAAAGAAGATTTTTTAAGTTTTTACTATACACATATATATAACAAGAGGGCCATAATGGCCCTGAGGTCGCTCACCTGTATATAGCCCCCCCCCCCCCCCGGCCAATTTTTACCCAACCAAGGGCTTTTATTTGAACAGGCTTGGTAGACACCCATAAGAAGATGTTTCATGCTAAACATGTAAGTTCTAGCTCATTGGGTTTTTTAAAAGTAGATTTTTTAAGTTTTTACTAACACATATAGTTAAAAACAATGACACCCCTGGGGCAGGGCCAGTTATGACCCCCAGGCTTTTATCTTTTATTTGAACAAATTTTGTAGATATTTACTTAAAGATGTTTCATGTATAATATCTAAACTCAAGCTATTTGGGTTCTTTAAAAGAAGATTTTTTAAGTTTTTGCTATACACATATAACGAAAATCAATGACCCCGGGGCGGGGCCAGTTTTGACCCCAGGGCTTTTATTTGAACATACTTGGTAGACACCCATTAGAACATGTTTCATGCTAAATATCTTAGCTCTAGCTCTTTGAGTTCTTTAAAAGAAGATTTTTTAAGTTTTTACTATATGCATATAGGGAAAATCAATGACCACCTGGGGCGGGGCCAATTTTGACCCCAGGGCTTTTATTTGAACAAACTTGGTAGACACTCATTAGAAGATGTTTCATGCTAAATATCTTAGCTCTAACTCTTTGGGTTCTTTAAAAGAAGATTTTTTAAGTTTTTACTATATGCATATAGGGAAAATCTATGACCCCCTGGGACTGGGCCAATTTTGACCCCAGGGCTTTTATTTGAACAAACTTGGTAGACATTCACTAGAAGATGTTTCATGCCAAATATCTAAGCTCTAGCTCTTACGGTTCTTTAAAAGAAGATTTTTAAGTTTTTACTATATGCCTATAGGGGAAATCAATGACCCCCCGGGGCGGGGCAATTTTGACCCCAGGGTTTTTATTTGAACAAACTTGGTAGACATTCACTAGAAGATATTTCATGTCAAATATCTTAGATCTAGCTCTTTGGGTTCTTTAAAAGAAGATTTTTTAAGTTTTTACTATATGCATATAGGGAAAATCTTTGACCCCCCTGGGGTAGGGCCAATTTTGACCTCAGGGCTTTTATTTGAACAAACTTGGTAGACACTCATTAGAACATGTTTCATGCTAAATATCTTAGCTCTAGCTCTTTGGGTTCTTTAAAAGAAGATTTTTTAAGTTTTTACTATATGCATATAGGGAAAATCAATGACCCCCTTGGGCGGGGCCAATTTTGACCCCAGGGCTTTTATTTGAACAAACTTGGTAGACATTCACTAGAAGATGTTTCAAGCCAAATATCTAAGCTCTAGCTTTTACAGTTCTTTAAAAGAAGATTTTTTAAGTTTTTACTATATGCATATAGGGTAAATCAATGACCCCCCGGAGCGGGCCAATTTTGACCCCAGGGCTTTTATTTGAACAAACTTGGTAGACACTCATTAGAAGATGTTTCATGCCAAATATCTAAGCTCTAGCTCTTACGGTTCTTTAAAAGAAGATATTTAAAGATTTTTCTTTCGGTTGCCATGGCAACCAGAGTTCTGCATGAAATGGAATTCTTTGAACAATCTTGATAGAGCTTCATACAAAGAGTATTCCTGCCAAGTTTCATTTACATTGGCCTTGCGGTATCATAGAAGATGTCCTTAGAATATTTAAAATGTGGACGGACGACGGACGACGGATGCCATTTGGTTGGCCATCCTAAAAGCTCACCTGCACTTTGTGCAAGGTGAGCTAAAAACAATGACACCCCTAGGGCGGGGCCAGTTTTGACTCCATGGCTTTTATTTAAACAAACTTGGTAGACATCCATAAGAAGATATTTCATGCTAAACATCTAAGCTCTAGCTTATTGGGTTTTTTAAAAGAAGATTTTTTAAGTTTTTGCTATACACATATAAGGAAAATCAATGACCCCCAGGGCAGGGCCAATTTTGACCCCAGGGCTTTTATTTGAACAAACTTTGTAGACACTCACTAGAAGATGTTTCATGCTTAATATCTTAACTCTAGCTATTTAGGTTTTTTCAAAGAATACTTTTTAAGTTTTTGTCATACACATATATAAGGAAAATCAATGACCCCCGGGGCGGGGCCAATTTTGACCCCAGGGCTTTTATTTGAACAAACTTGGTAGACACCCATTAGAACATGTTTCATGCTAAATATCTTAGCTCTAGCTCTTTGAGTTCTTTAAAAGAAGATTTTTTAAGTTTTTAATATATACATGTACATATAGGGACAATCAATGACCCCCTGGGGCGGGGCCAATTTTGACCCCAAGGCTTTTATTTCAACAAACTAGAACATGTTTCATGCTAAATGTCTTAGCTCTAGCTCTTTGAGTTCTTTAAAAGAAGATTTTTTAAGTTTTTACTATATACATATAGGGAAAATCAATGACCCCCTGGGGCGGGGCCAATTTTGACCCCAGGGCTTTTATTTGAACAAACTTGGTAGACACCCATTAGAACATGTTTCATGCTTAATATCTTAGCTCTAGCTCTTTTGGTTCTTTAAAAGAAGATTTTTTAAGTTTTTACTATATACATATAGGGAAAATCAATGACCCCCTGGGGCGGGGCAATTTTGACCCCAGGGCTTTTATTTGAACAAACTTGGTAGACAACCATTAGAACATGTTTCATGCTTAATATCTTAGCTCTAGCTCTTTGGGTTCCTTAAAAAAAGATTTTTTAAGTTTTTACTTTATGCATATAGGGAAAATCAATGACACCCTGGGGCGGGGCCAATTTTGACCCCAGGGCTTTTATTTGAACAAACTTGGTAGACACCCATTAGAACATGTTTCATGCTAAATATCTTAGCTCTAGCTCTTTGAGTTCTTTAAAAGAAGATTTTTTAAGTTTTTACTATATACATATAGGGAAAATCAATGACCCCCTGGGGCGGGGCCAATTTTGACCCCAGGGCTTTTATTTGAACAATCTTGGTAGACACTCACTAGAAGATGTTTCATGCCAAATATCTAGGCTCTAGCTCTTTCTGTTTTTTAAAAGAAGATATTTAAAGTTTTTTCTTCATGGAATTAAATTCTTTGAACAATTTTTAAAGGTGAACACCAAAGAAACATTCCTGTGAAGTTTGGATGAAATTGGCTTAGTTGTTTATGAGGAGATGTCATTTAAAGTAAAAGTTTACGGACGGACGCCGGACGGACGGACGCCGGACGAAAAGCGATCACAAAAGCTCACCCTGTCACTTTGTGACAGGTGAGCTAAAAAATGAAATAAAATTTCGAGTAAACAGTAAATACTGATCTAGTTAGGTTTATTGTATAAATCCATTATTACTGTCACCTTAATTCAAGAAAGAATGTTGACAAAAGCGTCAATATATCGGAGTTTTCTTTTCCATAATCTACTACGTTACTAACGCAGTAGCCAATATAAATAGAAGAAGATAATTCATTAAACTCGGTCACGTGTCACAAAGTGGTCCGAAAAAATCCCAGGATCAGGTATGCTCGGGATCGTTTATCAATTTTCGTCATTGAGTAGGCCCCTATCATATTTCAAGCTAAATGTAAAATCGATGAATTGGTCGTCATATATGAAATAATTAATCAAATACAATTGAGAGTGTTAACAAGGTTTTTCTATTTTTAGCTCCTGTGACCCAGTTTTTCATCCGAGATGACCAATGGTCGAAGTCATCCAAGCTATTAGCTAGACAAGCATCCTGACCAAGTTTGATGATGATTTAGTAAAACAAGAGGGCCATGATGGCCCTAAAGTCGCTCACCTGTATATAGGCCCCCCGGAGCGGGGCCAGTTTAAACCCCAGGGCTTTTATTTGAACAAACTTGGTAGACACCCATTAGAAGATGTTTCATGCTAAACATCTAAGAGACACCCATTAGAAGATGTTTCATGCTAAACATCTAAGGTCTAGCTTGTTGGTTTTTTAAAAAAGAAGATTTTTTCAAGTTTTTTTCTTTACACATATAGTTAAAAACAATGACACACCTGGGGCAGGGCCAGTTTTGACCCCAGGGCTTTTATTTGAACAAACTTTGTAGACACTTTCTAGACAATGTTTCATGCTTAATATCTGAACTCTAGCTATTTAGGTTTTTTCAAAGAAGATTTTTAAGTTTTTGCTATACACATATAAGGAAAATCAATGTCCCCTGGGACGTGGCCAATTTTGACCCCAGGGCTTTTATTTGAACAAACTTTGTAGACACTCACTAGAAGATGCTTTGTGCTGAATATCTAAACTCTAGCTATTTGAGTTTTTTCAAAGAAGATTTTGTAGGTTTTTGTCATACACATATAAGGAAAATGAATGACCTCCGGGGCGGGGCCAATTTTGACCCCAGGGCTTTTATTTGAACAAACTTGGCAGACACTCACTAGAAGATGTTTCATGCTTAGTATCTAAACTCTAGCTATTTGTTTTCATTCAAAAAAGATCTTTTAAGTTTTTGTTATAAACATATAAGGAAAATGAATGACCCCGGGTCGGGCAAATTTTGACCCATCAGAGCTATTATCTAGGTTAGCATCCTGACAAAGTTTGATGATGATTGAGGCAAAAATGTGACTGCTAGAGTGTCAACGAACAAGTGTGGACAGACGACGGACATTCAACAATCCTTAAAGCTCACCTGAGCTCAGACTTTCCGAAAGTTAAAAACATTCGGTCTAACAAACCATGAAAATCTGTCGGACCGAAACGAAATCTGTCAGACCGAATGAAATTGATCAAAATCAAAGAAAGACTTGTGTTTGTATTTTTAAGACACTTTTTGATTTTAATTTTTTCGTCTGAAAAATCGGCACATTCCGTGTAGCGCATTTTCATCTCCTCCCTGTCATACACCAACGATTCATGGTCCTGCTTCCATTTTTCATTAAATTTTGATTTGGGTCTATTCTTTTCATCCTTTTATTGCTGTTATGCGCGCTCCTCTGACGTAGATTTTCGTTTTTCCCAGGTTTGGCACCTTTAGCGACGCCCTTTAGTATACATGCTGCTAGGATAAAAACTGGACAGTCGGACCGATCCGGAATAAAAAATTGTCGGACCTGATCAAAATTTATCGGACATGTCCGTCGGACCGACGTATTTCGGGAAGTCTGTAAGCTAAAAAAACCCCTAAATCTAAGACATAGGAACCTATACATTTGGTTTAATTGCACTACATAAGTTGCTAAAAGTGGCAGACCATTTTGAGCCAGTCCATCAGTGGTCTTACTAGAGAGAATTTACTGTATCTATATTTCTAGTTTCAAGTCAATGATAAAACTCCTTGAATAATTTTGCAGTTACAAAGAAATAATAATAATTTATTTATAATTTTACAGGACAAATAAAATGTACTGAAACAACTGCCCCATGTCCCAGCAACCAACAGACTGACCAACCACAGGTTACTCTTATATATCCACTTAAACTTTGCCAGGGCTTTGAATATTCAAATGATACATATATAAATATACAAAAATAAGTAAAATAGTAGTATGTCTTACTTACCCTCATTATCAATAACAAATGGAACATCATCATCAAGTATATCATATGAGCATATAGCTTTATTATCAGATTCATTATCATCATCATGTGCTGTCACTTTGATGATACTGTCATACATCCTGTCCTCTTCCATTTCAACAAAGTATGTTGTCTTATCAAACACTGGGGCAAACTTGTCTACACCTTCAACTTTTACTGTTACCACACCTCTGAAACATAAAGAGCAAATTAATCGTGGGAACCAGACAAATGGTCTAGAACTGGTTCCAGTAAAGGACCATGTCCTTTGATTAACAAAACAAGACCTATCAGTGTTTAAATGTGTCACCTGACAATATTTGTTCCCTATATGATGCGGCTACTTTGAAGCATATTGCAGCTTTGAAGCATATTGCAGCTACAATGTACTGTGTAGCAGGAGACACAAAAATCATTGACTGGCCTAAATTGTTTTTTTTTTTATTCAAGGGCCAGAACTGACCCAACAAGAATTTGTAACAGAGTTACCAACGTCCCCAGTCTCATGCAGCATAAAATTGTTCTATTTCAAGATAGAGGTATGGATCTCAGGACTTTCAGTCCAAAATTACTATCAATGGTAGATCTGCAAATGCAACAACAAATTTATTAAAGAAATAAAATGAAACACAGAATTTAACTAGAAATGTGTCCATAGGAGACGAATGCCCCCACACGCCACTGTTCTGTCAATCTTATGACTCTAGGTCAAATATTTTTGGACTACATGTGCCACAAGTTGAAAACTAAAAATCAACAAAGGGCCATAATTCTGTTAAATTTGGTCGCAGCAAAAATTCCTTCCTTTACTACCATCTACACATTAAGGTTGTTCATCCCTGGAAGTTTAAGCAAAATCTGCCATCCGGTTTAAGAGGAGTTGCGTTCACAAAATTTCTACATAGTATATAGTGAAAAAAATCAACAAAGGGCCATAATTCTGTTAAATTTGGTCGCAGCAAAAATTCCTTCTTTTACTACCATCTACACATTAAGGTTGTTCATCCCTGGAAGTTTAAGCAAAATCAGCCATCCGGTTTAAGAGGAGTTGCGTTCACAAGATTTCCGGACGCACGGACAGACGGACGGAAGTTCTAACAGGAGAGTAATTATGTGGCTACTCTATTGTTCTCTCTATTGTTCTTTTTAGCCACACAAAAGAAAATAGCCACATAAAAGCATTACGGAATGAATGACATCAAAGAGAAAGAACAGTTACCTATTGTCCCTCTAGCCACATAATTACTCTCCTGTGAATGCGGACTTACGTACGGACGGACACTCGGACGGACAAGTGCAACGCTATATGCTCCCACTCTGTGGGGGCATAAAAATCTATCATGTTAAGCTTTGACCTCTTAGTGTGACCTTGACCTTGGAGGTACGGGTGCAGGTGTTGTGCATGACATATCGTCTTATAATTGTAACTATTTGTGCCAAGTACTTTCAAAATCCCTTGAACTATGAAAAAGTTATAGATCTGACACAAAATATACCCTTTAACAGACTATGTTAATCTTTGACCTCTAAGTGTGACCTTGGAGAGGTAGGGACCCATGTTTGTGCCTGACATATAGTCTTATTATTGTGATTATTTGTCAGAGTATTTTTAAAATCCTTTGGTCTATGAAAAAGTTATGGACTGGACACAAAATATACCCTATAATAGACTATGTAAACCTTTGACCTTTAAGTGTGACCTTGACCTTGGAGGTAGGGGTGCAGGTGTTGTACTTGATATAACGTCTATTTTTTTTGACTATTTGTGCCAAGTTATTTAAAAATCCCTTGAACTATGAGATCTAGATCGGACACAAAATATACCATAAAACAGACTATGTTAATTTTTGACCTCTTAGTGTGACCTTGACCTTTGAGGTACGGATGCAGGTGTTGCTAATGACACATTGTCTTATTATAGTGACTATTTGTGTTTATGTGACAAGTTATCAAAATCCCTTTACCTATGAAGAAGTTCTAGATTGGACACTATATACTATATTATATACTATAACAGACTATGTTAATCTTTGACCTCCAAGTGTGACCTTGACCTTGGAGGTAGGTGACCAATTCTTGTGCATGACATATTGTCTCATTATTGTGAACAATTGTGGCAAGTATTTACAAAATCCCTTCAAAGATAACAAAGTTATGGACCGGACACGACATATACCCTCAAATAGACAATGTTGACCTTGAATGAGCAAGTGCGACCTTGACCCTGGAGGTAGGGGTCTGGTTTTGCGCATGACACATCGTCTTATTATTACAAACATTTATTAAATTCCTTTGAAAATAAATGACAAAGTTATGGACCGGACACAAAAGTGTGACGGAAGGACGGATGTTCTCACAGTACAGTAATTATGTGGCTTCTCTATTGTTCTCTCTATTGTTCTTTTTAGCCACACAAAAGAAAATAGCCACATAAAAGAATTAGGGAATGATGACATCAAAGACAAAGAACAGTTACCTATTGTCCCTCTAGCCACATATTTACTGTCCTGTGAGTGCGGACGGACGGAGCCTATTTCTATATCCCCCTTTTTTCTTCGAAAAGACAGGAGACAAGAGCTGTCACCCAAGTGACGAATGCCCCTGAAAAGGTTTCTTAAGCATGCATTGGTATTATGAAAAGAAGAGAAAGAAAGTAACTAATTGCATAATATTGTTCTTTGTATTATTGTACCTGTAATCTTTAATTGTGATAGCATGAACCTTCAAAATATAAGTATGATTTTGACATTTGAAGAAGGGACGTGGTTCCTGGACGCGACAGAATGTTGTTATGAAATAGACATTTGTGCCAAGTTTTTTCAAAGTCCCTCAATGTATGACAAGTTACAGTCTGGACATGATTGTTGTGTAAGTGGGGACACACCGACGGAGGCGCGACACATTGTCTTGATGTGGTAGACATTTGTGCCAAGTTATTTTAAAATCCTTCCATGCATGACAATGTTACAGTCTGGACATGAATGAGTATCTTCAAACTCTTCTCGAGAGAATGAGTACCTTCAAACTATAAGTGTGGCCTTGAACTTGAAGGTAGGGACATGGGTCTTAGTTTTTTTGTTTTATTTTGTATTGGGTTTTACGTCACATCTATACAGTATAGGTCATATCGCGACGTTCCAGCTTTACTGTTGGAGGAAGACCTCAGGTGCCCTTCCGTGCATTATTATAAAATTAAATTGAATCTGGAGGCGTGCTGCTTTAAGTCAACACCAATTTGTTGTTATGATCTGCTTGAATGCTCCTTAGCATTTCACAAAGTGTGAAAACTGTTATTATTAGGTTATTGTATGAAATTAGGTGAGAAGGTAAATTTTACAGTTGTTTAAAGTTGCTTTCAACACATTTCAGAATTATACTAGAATATTAGATGTGACAGGCTAAAAAAGACCTCAGGTCGATCTTAGGGTAACTAGTAACCGACACTGAAAAGCCTTTTACTCTATCACAATTCATTTAGAAGTTGTAGCACTTTGAAATCAGTTTTGGTGAAAAAAATAATGCAAAATAGTGATTTTTGGCAATTTTGAGACGTCCCCCGTTGCCACGGTAACAGGAAATTTACAATTGAGCATGCTGTTACAGAGGCTATGGTCTAGTCAACATTTGTGCCAAGTTTCATCAGTAATGAAGCATTTTTCATAGGTTCATAGCAGTTTGAACTTGTTACAGGAGGCTTTTCAATGATAACGGCCATTTTTCGAAATATGCTCATGGGGTAAAAGGATAAATCAGTAGGGGACTAATAAAGTGGTTATTTCTTACCTGTTTGATTTTTTACTGTAAGGTGGGTCTTCACAATCATAGGCAAATATGTTGAATTTGTAATGTTTCCTTTTTTCATAGCTAAGCACGGCCCCTTTTTTTACTTTCAGAAGTGCTTCTCCAGTTTCTTTATTCTTTACTTCAATCTCAAATGGTATGTTTTTTCGATTTGATACAATTTCATATCTGCATATTAGACCTGGAAGCAGAATAAATCTGTAAAACTAGTGACAACATGAGCTCAGCTGAGGCCGGGAAATAAACTCTGATGGCAAATTTTAAAGACGGTATTATGGACCAAAATATGTCATACAAAAGCAAATTTATTGTTGTAAATGGTACATAAGATGATTTTTTCTAAAGAATGAGAAAGAAATCAAGATTGTATTTGTAAGAAACAAGCAAATTCGTTGAATTTATATCACCCGCCGAGTACTGGTTATTATTAACACAACAACTGAAGACATAAGGCTTTATTTATATATTAATCATGGCATAAACAGTAATATTCTTTGAACTTGATAAATATTCAGGGCAATAACAGAGCCATAACTTTGTGTTAAATAGTAAAATCTGGAAATGCCAATGAGATGTATGCATACTACATAACTAATCAAGGGCCATAAATCTGAGTTATAAGTATCTGACTGGAACAAGGCGACTATATGCATATCTCCTCTTAGTATCCCATAAAGTTTCATTGAATTCCAGCCAGTAGTAGCAGAGAAGTAGCAAGGAAACAAATATTTTTCTATATGGATCAAGGGCCATAACTCTGAGTAAAAGTGTCTGACCAGAACAAGCCTGCGATATGCGCATCTCCTCTTGGTATTGAAGGTTCCCATAAAGTTTCGTTGAATTCCAGCCAGTAGTTGCAGAGAAGTAGTGCGGAAACGATTTTTACTCATATGCATACAACATAACTAATCAAGGGCAATAACTCTGAGTTAAAGGGTCTGACCGGAACAAGCCGACAATGCGCATCTCCTCTTGATATTGATGATTCCCATAAAGTTTCGTTGAATTCCAGCCAGTAGTTGCAGAGAACTACTCCGGAAACAATTTTTACTCCATATGCATATTGCATAACTAATCAAGGGCCATAACTCTGAGTTAAAGTGTCTGACCCGAACAAGCCGACGATATGCGCATCTCCTCTTGGTATTGAAGGTTCCCATAAAGTTTTGTTGAATTCCAGCCAGTAGTTGCAGAGAAGTAGCGCGGAAACGATTTTTACTCCATATGCATACTGCATAACTAATAAAGGGCCATAACTCTGAGTTAAAGTGTCTGACCGGAACAAGTCGACGATATGCGCATCTCCTCTTGGTATTAATGATTCCAGAGATCTGCCGAGGACGCGATTTTGCGCCATTGGCGCTAAAGAATTGAGAATGGCGCAGGAAAATCGGCAGCAAAGGGCCATGGACGCATCTAAAATCTGTGCCAGACTTATAAGAAAACAAAACTGTCCGTTGGGTAATTTAGTCATCCAGTCAAAACTGGTACTAACAGCAACATGTTACCATTCCCTTGTAATTACGCATATTCTTGAGTTTATCCATTCCCCTATAGCTTTTGTCCATGTTATCTACTTACCGCATTTCTTCTTATAATCCCTTTTCCATACAGATACTCATTTCTACTACGTAAATTTAATCCAATAAAACAAACAAATTATACAACTACTTAATATTTACAATGATTATTGATAACTGAAAAAAAAAGTGTTGCTATTTTAAGAAATGCTGTAAGTTACAGTATAATCCGACAGGTGTAAAACTTGATCACCCCTAAGGTCACTCAAGTTCATGCAAGCTTTGGCTGATTTTAAAATAGTGTAAAAAAGATGTCTATTTCGTCATCAGAATATTTGACAGGGTGATTAACCAATCAGGGAAACATTGTGTGTGATTTTTTTCATGATCAAAAGGTCTGTCGGCAAGTGTCTTTGATGTATGCTGTCTACACAGATGCATGCAAGGGGCAATAAAATTCGTCAATATACAGTGGTTAGGGACATTTGGTGCAAAGTAGGAATAATTACATGGATAATGCACATTATTAGACATTAGAAGTAAGAACAAGCCTGCGATATGCCCATCTCCTCTTGGTATTGAAGGTTCCCATAAAGTTTCGTTAAATTCCAGCCAGTAGTTGCAGAGAAGTAGTGCGGAAAAGATTTTTACTCTATATGCATACTACATAACTAATCAAGGGCCATAACTCTGAGTTAAAGTGTCTGACCGGAACAAGCCGATGATATGCGCATCTCCGTTTGATATTGATGATTCCCATAGTTTTGTTGAATTCCAGCCAGTAGTTGCAGAGAACTACTCCGGAAACGATTTTTACTCTACATGCATACAACATAACTAATCAAGGGCCATAACTCTGAGTTAAAGGGTCTGACCAGAACAAGCCGACGATATGCACATCTCCTCTTGATATTGATGATTCCCATAAAGTTTCGTTGAATTCCAGCCAGTAGTTGCAGAGAACTACTCCGGAAACGATTTTTACTCTACATGCATACAACATAACTAATCAAGGGCCATAACTCTGAGTTAAAGGGTCTGACCGGAACAAGCCGACGATATGCGCATCTTCTCTTGATATTGATGATTCCCATAAAGTTTCGTTGAATTCCAGCCAGTATTTGCAGAGAACTACTCCGGAAACGAAATTCGGACGGACAACGCCAAAACTATATCCCCCTCCCGATTCCATCGGCGGGGGATAAAAAGCCATGCAACTGTTTAGGATATTAGTGAACCTGCGTTTGAATCCTGGTCAAGGCAACTGAATTTGGTTGTTGTCTTTTTTTTTTCAGTGGTTTTCACATTTTTTTTACAAGAATTAGCTATGCAAAGAGAAAATATGTTTAGTCAAGTCATTGGCAAAGCATATGGCACACACATTAATTTACAGAAATTGAGAAACTGGTTAACAATTATCAATTATAAGGAGAAAACAAGTTAAAGCAAAATTGTAATTTTCAAATTCAACTTTTAATTAGTGAACTATCTTATTCTGTTTCTGTGTAAGTGAAAAAAACATATTGTTTTTATAAACAGTGCTTGTATTAAACACTTTGAAACATTGCTTTTGAAAATAACAGCAATTTTTTAGAAGGACTCTCAATCAACATCAGCTTCACCTGAAACAAGAAAATCTCATAAAAGAACATGAAATGCTTGCACTACCTTGTTAATATACTTTCATATTTTACTAAGATTAATAGTCCAGCAATCAGGTACACAAAATTACAAATTTGACAACATATGACTTGAATGTTGTATCATGGAAAACTGAGGCCTTTTTTTTACATAGGCAAGGCTTAAAAAGTTTCTCATGAAAAAAAAATCAATCTCAGACTTACGAGAAGCTCCAACTGTATCATTATCTCTTGCTAATAACCCTGGTTCAAGATGCACAACAGTTTCGTGTTCACGTACTTTACCTCTAAACAATGGTATGTCACGGCTGTTCTTGTACACTGATAAAATCTCTGGTGCATAAGCATTTGGTTCTGAAAAATATAAAGAGAATTTAAAAGTATAAACAGTCAACATTGTATTAAGAGACCACTCAAGGGACTGCTAATAAGTGGTCTCTCAATAGTATTCTGGAAAATTCGAGACAAAATACAGGATTTCCTTTTTATACTACAAGTCATAGATATAATATCATCCTTTACAATAACAAAACAAGATTGCATTTGTGAAAAATGTCACCGCATTAATACAACACTTAATAGTAGTGTAGGAACAGATTTTTTTTTCTTTACAATCCCTGACCTATCTAACTCTTATGGACGTTTCCGGTGTTTACAGTTTTATGTAAATTGGCTAACTGGTTATCCAACTGCTACACTGGGATATTACATTGTCACTGGTTGACCTGGTTTGCACAAAAGAACACATGGTTATGTTTGTGATACTGTTTGTGAGCAGTTGACCTAGCAATGAATGGAAAAGGTGTGGCTAAATGTTCCGCTACGAAAAACCGGAAAGGTCCATTATCAGATTTGTGGTTAAATCTATTGTTATTCAAATTAAAGATCAGAGTAGGAATATATCAACGCAGTTGAGTCTAGTGAATTTAGTGGTGAAGGTCATATTTCAAACAGCCTAAATTTCATACTACATCAAAGGACAACACAGTAAGACACTTTGTCAAATTTAAGTCAGCTGATATCAAAGTTCACTTAACATCTTAATCTGTGCATCTTAATGGTTCAAATTTCATAGGACAAGATGTGCACATGGTTCAAATTTCATAGGACAAGAAAGTAGGTCACATCATCAAAATCTAGGTCACCTGATATCAAAGTTCAATTTTACAACTTAAAACTGTGCATATGGTCAAAATTTTATTGCTGTACATCAAAGGACAAGAAAGTAGGTCACTGTCCCATTGGGCAAGGCAAAATTTTGATCTAAGGGTTTAATTCAAAACAATCTTGAAACAGGTCCACCAAACAACATTTCATGTCTAATATCTAAGCTGTAGCTTTCTCCAATTCAGGTAACATTTGTTTTAGTTTCTGTTTTTACTATGTGTATATAATGAGAATCAATGCCCCTGGGCGGGGCAAATTTTGACACCAGGGGAAAAATTTGAACAACTTTGGTAGAGGACCTATAGATGATATTATATAGCAAACATCAAAGCCCTATGCCTTGTACCTTCAGACAAAAAGATTTTTTGATTTTTTTTACTAATCTATGTACATAATGAAAATCAATGATCCCCCTGGGCGGAGCCAATTTTGACCCCAGGGCTATAATTTGAACAATTTTGGTAGAGGTTTACTTCGCAAAGTCTCATGCCAAATATTTAACCTCTAGCCTTTGTCAATTCAAAGAAGAAGATTTTTCAAGTTTTTACTTTATACATATAAGGAAAACTATCACCTCTGGGGCGGGGCAATTTAATCACTAGGGGTACAATTAAAACAACTTTAGTAGAGGATCCATAGATGATATTATATACCAAATATCAAAGCTCTAAGCCTTGTACCTTCAGACAATAAGATTTTTAAATTTTTTACTATATGTACATAATAACAAGATTGCATTTGAGAAAAATGCTATGCCACCGCATTAATATAACACTAAATAGTAGTGTAGGAACAGATTTTTTTTGTTTCTATACAACTGAAGATTGTCATAATGCATAGATCCCTGACCTATCTAATTCTTATTAATCAGATAAGTGGTTAAATATATTGTAAATCCAATAAAAGATCAGAGTAGGAATATATCAATGCACTTGAGTCTAGTGAATTTGGTGGTGAAGGTCATATTTCACACAGCCTAAATTTCATGACTACATCAAAAGACAACACAGTAAGACACTTTGTCAAAATCTAGGTCAGCTGATATCAAAGTTCACTTTAGTGCCCGTCTACACCTATCCAAGTCTTGGATGCAAGTATCATATTCTCTTGTATTGGATAGTGTAGACACCCTACTTGAATGAGTTTTAAAGAGAAATTATGTGACATCCAAGAAGATAATTCCTTGCAAAAAAGTTAGAACATGTTCTATTTTTCTACAAGTTTTTGGCTGTCAAGACACTGATAACACCAGTTTGACACAAAACATGTGCCCGAAGGTTTGATAGTGCTGTTAATTTTATTATTTTCTGACTTTTTGTTGTTGATTAAGTGTACTTGCCCTATGAATTTCAGTAAATGATTACAATGTCTTGGTCAAATGAACAAATCAATACGCTGATACACAGAAGAGCAAAAAAAAAAATAATAATAAATAAAAATAAATACATTGTAAAAAAATTAAAAAGAGCTCTTTTTCAAGTAGAGTCAAAAGGGATTTAAAATGATCTTGTTCATTTAGTGAATAACTTTCATCAAATAAAGAATTTGCATCAAAATAAATTTTTGTCACATTTTTTCAATTTTAAAATGAATGAACGCATTTCATTTACTCCATTCTGTTTTAGCTAATTGCATCATTTTCCCGCTTTTTTTCACATATTTTACAGAAACATGATAGTCTTGCAAAGACAAAGGTATAAATCCTGGGCTATCTTAATGAGACATTTCAGTAAAAATTGTGCCTGAAAAAATGTTGAAAGGGCCATTTATTTAGCTTATCTAAATGTGACATGTAAGAAACTTGAATAGGTGTATCCACGGCCTTACATCTGAATCTGTGCACATGGTTCAAATTTTATAGCTATACATCAAACGACAAGTAGGTCACATCATCAAAATCTAGGTCACCTGATATCAAAGTTCAATTTTACAGCCAAAACTGTGCACATGGTCAAAATTTCATTGCTGTACATCAAAGGACAAGAAAGTAGGTCACTGTCCCCTTGGGCAAGGCAAAAATTTTGATCCAAGGGTTTAATTCAAAACAATCTTGATACAGGTCCACCAAACAAAATTTCAAGTCAAATATCTAAGCTGTAGCTTTCTCCCATTCAGAAAACATTTGTTTTATTTTCTGTTTTTACTATGTGTACATAATGAGAATCACTGCCCCCGAGCAGGGCCAATTTTGATACCAGGGGAAAAATTTGAACGACCTGGTAGAGGACCTATAGATGATATTATAAAGCAAACATCAAAGCTCTATGCCTCGTACCTTCAGACAAAAATTTTTTTTTTTACTATATGTACATAATGAAAATTAATGACCCCCGGGGCGGAACCAATTTTGACCCCAGGGCTATAATTTGAACAATCTTGGTAGAGGTTCACTTCACAATGTTTCATGCAAAATATCTTAACTCTAACCTTTGTAAATTTAGAGAAGATGATTTTTTAAGTCTTTACTACATACATATAAGGAAAACCTATGGCCCCCGGGCGGGGCTAATTTTGACACTAGAGGCAAAATTTGAACAACTTTGGTAGAGTACCTATAGATGATATCATTTAACAAATATTAAAGCTCTAAGCCTTGTACCTTCAGACAATAAGATTTTTTTATTTTTTACTATATGTATATATTGAAAATCAATGACCCCCGGGGCGGAGGCAATTTTGACACCAGGGCTATTATTTGAACAATCTTGCTAGAGGTTCACTACACAATGTTTCATGCAAAATATCTAACCTCTAGCATTTGTCAATTGCTACAAGAATTTTTTTTTAAGTTTTACTAAATACATATAAGGAAAACCTATGACCCCATGGGCGGGGCTGATTTTGACACTTTAGGCAAAATTTGAACAACTTGGTAGAGTACCTATAGATAATAACACATACCAAATATCAAACCTCTAAGTTTTGTACCTTCAGACAAGAAGGTATTTTAAGTTTTTACTATATGTACAAATAGTGAAAATCAATGACCCCCGGGGCGGGGCCCATTTTGACCCAAGGGCTATAATTTGAACAATCTTGGTAGAGGTCTACCAGACAATGCCTTATGCAAAATATCTAAGCTCTATGCCTTTTGGGTCTTTACAAGAAGATTTTTTAAATTTATTCTTATAATTTCTTTTGGTTGCCATGGCAACCAGACTTCTGCATGGTATGAAATTCTTTGAATAACTTTGGAAGCCCTTCACCCAAGGATCAATTCTGCCAAGTTTGGTTGAAATTGGACTAGTGGTTTTTCACAAAGAAGATTTTTTTAAGTTCAATATATAATCTATAGAACACACACACAAACACACACACAGGTGAATCGCTATATGCCATTGCATCGCAGATGCTGCGGTGGCATAAAAAGACCTGGGGTCCAAATGCAATACCAATTTGGGTCTTCATAAATTATAAGCTTGCTATACATCAAGTTTGATTACAATATCTCATTCCTAACTCTAGTTATTGTCTGGAAACCATTTTTCTATTTTTTAGTAATGGTGATCTTGACCCTGGGGTCCAAATGCAATACCAACAAAGGTTGCTTTATATCAAGTTTGATTACACTACCTCATTCCAAATACTAGTTATCATCTGGAAACCATGATGTGGACGGACCGATAGACAGACGGACTGACCGACCAACAAGCAGACTCCATAGTCTCCTACATGTATATTCCCCACAAAAGTTTGTTTGCTGGAGTATAATTACAACCGTATAAATTAGCTTTCAAAATATCATTCATCATTTATTTTGATTTAAATGCTATAGAAGTTGGAATATCATTGTGGATTAAGAATTTTTATTTTTTTTTAATTTATTGCTTGAATCATGGCTCAGAAAACAATATTTGGATTTATTACCTCAGTAAACAGTGCTAAAAGATTGCTTAAAGTCAGAAAACTACAAAAAAAGATTGTTTAAAACCTTAGTCAAGACAGTTTTGACTAGTATGTATCAGATGAGAACAGTGTTTGCCTACTATGTGCTTAAATAAATAATTATTTTAATTGAAAGAAATATCCGATGTTATAGCTCGATTTGATGATATGTTGTACACATAAGCATCATTTCTCCCTTAAATCTATGCACAGCATTCTTCTCCCTATTATTTCCTGATGGGAGAAATCACTTCTCCATAAATTTTCAGCCCAAGGTTTAGTCCCTGTTTATGCATTGAATATGCTACCAAATGTCAGACTAACTCTAGCTAACAGTCATGCCCTTATAGCTGCCACTTGCCAATAACTGTCATGTTAATTTCCCTCCGAAAAAAATCTCTATATAAATGGCTGCAAATACTGGTCACTTGCAGCCTGCGGCCAATGAAAAAGACTTGCCTGTTGAAATTTTGAACCCAAACATGGCAAACAATGGTCAGTGTAGCCTTGTTTACATCAAACAAAAGGTGAGAATATACAAATTACAACATGTACGCCATTAATGGCCATTATTATAGTCACCGGACCAGTGCTCAACCAGTATTTCACAAAATCACAAAAAAAGTTTTTCAAAACAAAAAGACTGCTAGAAAACTAATTTTTGTTACAAATCTGGGCCTTTCAAACTCACAATTTTAATGACACAGATCAAGATACAAATTACAATTTACCACAGTGTTGTACATAGGGCCTTAAACCATTATATTTTTCCGTCAAGCAAGCCAGTGCTCGACCAGGTGGTTTATCTCTATCAGAACTTTCACTTTTGAAAAACAGATATGATTTTTCTTTTTATGTTTAAGAATTGTATTTCATGTTTTAGTATAAATAGATGAAAATATGAATGTAAATATGATAGGAAGGAAATGTTATATATTGACAAATTAATAAATGTCCCTGTCCTAGAGTCAACATCCTTACTTTATTTTTCAGACAGTCTAAATTAAATAACAAATGTTCATTAGGTGATCACAATAATCCAAAGCTTTACGGAAAAAGCTAAGCAATTTTCATTGATCAAAATGATATTCATCCCCGTAACAAAATTATTTGAATCTATCACTTGTAATTTGCGGAAATGTTAAAAAATTATACAATATTAGAAATCTTTGATCAATTGAGAACTATTTTTCTTCCCTTAGAGGGTTTAAAATTAATGTGCTTGTCATTTGACTATCTCTATGCTGTGATCTCCCCTTAATTTTTCGGCGCAAGTGTACTTATAATGGGAAAAAACCGCTTCGAGGAACTCGTGATGGACTACTTTCGGATTTTGCAAATAAGCATATCAGGGTTTGAAATTTCGCTACCATTAATTGTTTGGTCTGACGACCCAAAGTAAAAATAGTACAATCTTTCACATCATGTAATATATCCCTGTACTGCCTCTTTCCGATCAGCTAACAGATTTTTCAACAATAACTGACAGTGAGATAATATATAAAAAAATTCTCTTTCAATCCTGCGAATATTATCATTTCAGCTATTAAATGAACCAATTTTTAAAATTTTACTTGAATTATTACTACGAATCGAGGACAAATCATTACTGACCCATTTTCCAGTTCTTCAAAATTTCAAAACCACTTTTCAATCAGTTAACAAAATATAAACTGTATCACATAAAAATTGTCATACAATGTTAAAATATAATTAGTTCTGTATTTTGGAGAAATTTTGACAAACTCAAATTCAGATAAATGGTAATAAACAATTTTAACCTAATTATAATGCCATTTTTCAATCTAGATATCTATTTGCAGTGGTAAAGCTGTCACAATTGGGGTATGGATGTACATTTCAATTTGCATAACAGAAAAAGCATGTTCTTGTGAAATTTTTAGGATCTTAGGGTCTATATGACCCCATTCGAGTGACTGCTTACTGAAAAGTTATCACAGACAATGTTTTTCCTTGGTTAAGTGACTGTTACTTTACTGATGTATTACCTTCCAATTAAGAACTGTATGGTAAAATATGTACATATTAAAATTACAGCTTTTGAAGTGCAGTATACATTATGACTTCATGATATTGAAACAGTTGTCCAACTTAATATCCATTTCTGCAGACTGACTAAAAACTGAGTCTGTAAATCAATTATTTTTAGAAAACTATTGCGATTTGTAACTGGGTAAATAAAGGATTAGTGGAAAACACACATTTTACATATTTTGAACTAAAATGCTAGCATTTTCTTTTTTATCGCCATAATTGACATTGCTGCTGATAAATTTAGTCAATGTGAATACAACTTTTACAAGATGTGCTTACAATTTGGTTACATGACAAATAAGGTCAAAAATAAAAAAATTCTAGGGATGATTGTCTATTGATTGAATTTGAAAAGTGGTTGTGATTGAAAACTGGCAGTATGTGGATATTATGGTTGTCATTTTGGGATACACTTATCTGGACATATTCTATGTAGACCTACTGGGAAGGTATGATTAAAGCCATGTCCTACAAATTACAGTGTCTAAACCATTACCACTTTGGGATATATACCAGGTGTTATTATGTAGCCACAGTAGGGCTATCGATACATCGATGTATATGACTATGATTTTGTGTTGAGGTTATCTCCCCCACCACTACAGCCTTCCTCAAAACTGCAAGAAACTTATTTAATAATCTTTTGGGTGGTGACTTCTTTAAAAAGTTAATATGATCTGATGATATTAATAGTTATTCAACACTTTACTGTATCCCCGTACTGCCTCTTTCCGATCAGCTAACAGATTTTTCAACAATAACTGACAGCGAAATTATATTTAATAAAAATCTCTTTCAATTCTGCGAATATTATCATTTTAGCTAATAAATGCACCAACTTTTTTTAATTTTACCTGAATTATTATTATGAATCGAGGACAAATCATTACTGACCCATTTTCCTGTTCTTCAAAATTTCACAACCACTTTTCAATCAGTTAACAAAATATAAACTGTACCACATAAAAATTGTCATACAATGTTAAAATATGATCAGTTATGTATTATGGAGAAATTTTGACATACTCAACTTCAGATAAATGGTAATAAACAATTTTAACCTAATTATAATGCCATTTTTCAATCTTAATATCTATTTGCAGTGGTAAAGCTGTTGTAATTGGGGTATGGATGTACATTTCAATTTGCATAACAGAAAAAGCATGTTCTTGTGAAATTTTTAGGATCTTAGGGTCTATATGACCCCATTCTAGTGACTGCTTACTGAAAAGTTATCACAGACAATGTTTTTCCTTGGTTAAGTGACTGTTACTTTACTGATGTATTACCTTCCAATTAAGAACTGTATGGTAAAATATGTACATATTAAAATTACAACTTTTGAAGTGCAGTATACATTATGACTTCATGATATTGAAACAGTTGTCCAACTTAATATCCATTTCTGCAGACTGACAAAAAACTGAGTCTGTATATCAATTATTTTTAGAAAATTATTGCGATTTGTAACTGTGTAAATAAAGGATTAGTGGAAAACACACTTTTTACATATTTTGAACTAAAATGCTAGCATTTTCTTTTTTATCGCCTAAATTGACATTGCTGCTGATAAATTTAGTCAAGGGGAGTACAAGATGTGCTTACAGTTTGGTTACATGACAAATAAGGTCAAAAATAAAAAATTTCTAGGGGTGATTGAAAAGTGGTTGTGATTGAAAACTGGCAGTGTGTGGATAGCATAAAATTTACTGCTTACCCGATGTAGACGTAACTATCCCGGCTCCAAATACACACAAAGAAAGCATAACCAGTGTTTCCATTTTCTGACTCTAGGTCATCAAAGAACGCCAAATTCCTAAGTAGATCTATCTACAGTATAGTCGTTGTGTTTTTCTAAATACTCTTGTCAATAAAATATGGCCGACCATGTAAATATATGCAAATAATATCAAAGTGACGTCATAATGCTTCCGGTTTCGGTTACATGTCACATAGGGTCATGTAGCAATCGCAACTTTCCGGCCCTTTCCGTCAGTGATTCTGATAAGGTCAATCGCAATCGCAACTACTCGGCCCTTTCCGTCAGTCTTCGGATAGATAATAGCCGAGGAAGTTCCGAATGATATTTTGATTGTTTTCTCGGTCCTTTCCGTCAAATTTCGACGGTCTCCACAAAATCGACGGTCTCTGACGGTCTTTGACGGTTATTACAGAAATCGACGGTCTCGCGATGAATACACGGATTTACAGTTTCCGAACTAGCAGAAGACAGGCTATTCTTATCAGTGGAATTGTGAGTAATTATAACCAATATTGCGTATCTCACACTCTGGCTTGTGATACATGTAGGTTTAACTGCCTTCAGTGTCATTCAAACAATGTGTTGAAATACAAGGGGGTCATACCATGTTCAAAAAATGTCTTATTTAAAACGAACTATTTACAGTTCCTCTGTTCGAAAAAAATCTTAAAACAAAATAGACATTATGATACTGCGTACACTGGTAAATCAAAGCACAGAAGGTGCTGAATTTGTTTGGGTCTCAGAATGTAAGAAATTAAGGTGCAGGGTTGTGAGATTATAGACCAATTTGTTTTTGTATAGTGCCACCGATGCCTTCCAGCATTTTAATTGTAGTAAATTGGCTATAATTGCAACACTATTATTCAATCCAATGTTTATTTGACTTTTAAAAACAATTTGAAAAAAAATGAGTTGCCTTATCGGAGATTTGAACTCCAGACCTCTCGCTTCCTAAGCGAGCGCGCAAACCCCTCGGCCACGGTGAATTTATATATTAAAGACCTGAAAAAAAACATATTATTCTAATTTAGGGTTTGTAACGACGCTAACTGTTGTTTAACACAGATGTAAATAATCATGGAGCTTACTATAAGCATGTATATATATAAAGAATAAAACAATATTAAAAATCTTCGACCATTCGGGAATTATTTTGCTTGAAAATTAATACGCTTGTCATTTGACCATCTTTACGCAGTGATCTCCCCTGAATTTTTCGGCGTTAGTGTACATATAAAGGGAAGTAACCGCTTCAAAAAAAGCGGACTACTTTCGGCATTTGCAATTAACAGCATTAGAGTCTGAAATTTCGCTACCATTATTTGTTTGGTCTGACAACCCAAACAAATAAAAATCAAGATTCTGCGTACACAGTTAATTATTTGTTATTGATTCTGCCTACAATTCTACAAAGCAGTCTAAGTTCATAATAGGATCAAATGGACAACGCTGGCGAACAAAAAAAATAAAATAATAAAAAGATAATTAAAATAAAATAATAAGATTCAAATCCTGTGATAAAATATGCTCCCTTAAAATGTTTAAAATATACATCCTAAAAAAGGTTTGAGTTTAATATTTTTCATTAAATTTGTTTACTCATTTATGTAACACTCTAGACAAAATAATAAGTTTTCATTCATAACTTACACTGGCTGCCGGTACAGACCGGAATATCTAGCTCGAGGGTAACTGTTTAAGGCGGTAACGAGGCTCTGTCGAGTTTCCGCTAAACAGTTACCAGAGAGCTAGATATTTCCGCCTGCACTGGCAGCCGGTGTTTGATTCTTTTTCTTGCATATTACATATCAATTATTTACAGAACAAAAATTACGAAAACCGATATTCTCATAACGCACTTTTTTCTCAACTTCATTCATAACGGTTAAGTGACGTCATCCTAAGAACGCAATTCATTCATAAAAGGCTCGCGTCAATGACGTTATTTAAAACACGCGACTTATCTTACATGGGGGATGTAAGATAGAGTTTCCTAGCACCGGTGTAAACGGTAGATAATCCTGTCTGATATGCAAGAAAAAGTTTTCTAGCACCGGTGTAAACGGTAGATAATCCTGTCTGATATGCAAGGAAAAAGCGAAGTTCAGGTTTAAAGTATACGTGTACCATGGATCACATATCAAATTCACAAAGCACATATAATTAAATTATCAGTGTGTGACTTTCATAAGTCATCATTATCAAAATGCTCTGTTATTCAACTTGCATATACAATTATAATCATTCAAATATAATATTCTCCATAAAGACCTGCTAAGAGATTGTCATAACATCTCCTTAGTAGTATAATCTTCAAGACTGGCCGTTACAAATGGTTCTATTTAATTAGTCATGATGAAAGCAACTTGAACAAGAACCAGTGTAATATATTTCCTCTAAATTCAAAAGGAATTCATAAATTTGCACGCCATACGTTTTTAAAGAAAAAAAAACATGTATGTTAAGTCATCAGAATATGATTTTCTAATTGATATTTTTTCATATGATTTAATATTTACTGTGATTTTACTGTTATTGTACGAATAATGATTGATAAGAACGAGTTGTTACGCGTGATCTACGTGCATGTGTTAAATCAAATTGAAACTGTAAAAGTGTTACTTAATACTTATATAGAGTAGGTCATTTGAATGGTAAATAACAGCTTTATTTGTATTTACTTTTGTCTTTTTTCAGATTGTGATTTTTGAATCTTCAGCCGATTGCCAAAACATTGAATAAATATGTTTAAACTAAAACATTTTTAATTTCTTTCTTATTTCTTTTAGAGCACTTTGTTTGGCTATTCTTTATAATAGTTGTTGCAGCTGCCTGTATGATCTAGTATAATATCGGATCGCTGCTTACAAAAAAAAATCAATTATAGAACCTCGTGAAAACTGCATTTTTTCTCCAATGCTTATTTTATAACTGTTGATGTTAAAGACCCGTTTTGGGCGAAAGAGTTGCTTTAACGGTCAGTTCATTCCTTCAGGATTGTTCACATTTTTTTTTCAATTACGTAATGGATACAGTAAGAGGTTTTCTTCGAAAGTGTCTTCTTACAAACGTAGACAGTTTGCTAGGATAAACAACAAATTATTCGAGGCGAAGCCGTTGATAAATTGCTTTTCTAAGCAAACCGCCTTCTTCATGTCTGTAAAGACACTTTTGAAGAAAAGGAACCGCGACTTATAAATACGACGATTTAGTGTAAAGAACAGATAAATTAATAAATACATTAACTGATAACTATATTTCAATCGGACAAAATGGACTTTCATTCATTAACAAACAATGTTAAATGGATGTATTCAAAAGAGAGTCATATTTACTAAACTTGATTATGTCGTTTTGCGTCAATTTATATGGATAAATGTTGTGGACACCAAGTTGTTAAGTTTTCTTTTTTACATTCTTAACACAATGGCCGTTGACGTTTTATATCTACTTTTCAGTGGTGGGGCGGGGGGTGGGGACAGCAAATGTCATATCATTGTTGTTTTATCCTGATAGAATAACAGACGGTTAACAAGCTTCATCCAACGAACAATTGTTTCGTCGATAGTCAACAGTAGCTTTGTTCCTGGAAATGGCCATAAAATGTATTTATCTAATTCTATTTTCGATAAACTAAGCTATCAAGCTCGCTACAAATTTCAATCAGTTTCTATGGTGTCCTGTTTGAGGCAGTTATAATATCGCCTGTCAAGTTTTAAGATGGACTAAATCTCTTGCAATTGGTCGACTAGAAGACTAGGTAGCGCTTTTGTACCCACTCAGGTGTCGGTGTAGACGTCACACTTTGGTTAAGTATTTGCGTCCAAGTTGGTTTCTCTTAAACTACTAAGAGGAAGGATTGAAACGTATTTGGAAGCATAATGTGCTATATCCAAGACCCGTTACTCTAATATGGATTTTGAAAGAACTATGGTCCTATTTGACCTTAGAAAATTCCACATTATGCAGACTCTTATTTTCCTACCAAGCACTAAGAATAGTCGAGTGCACTACTTTTGTTAATAACTAATAAGTAGCTATATATATGTAAAAAAAAGATTTATTGTAGTCACTGGTGCTGTAAACAAGTAACATACGAGAATTAATGTTTATCATCGCGAATGTTTTTACATTTTGATTCTCACAAGGATTTAGTTAAGCATGCGACAACACGAAAGTTAAATGGCGCCAAAACTTTCATTCGATAATGCAAAAATCTCGCTATTTTTATCTATAAAAATACAGAAGGGCAACACAAGGCTTCCGGAGAAAAAAAAATTGTATTTCAATAGATGTTATATAACTGGCACAAAACAGGACACTGTATAATGCAGCTGCACTAAATCTACATGGAAGGTAACAGTTATTCACAGACGTAAGAAGACAATTTTTGAATAGTTCTGCTGAGGATATAGGATATAGTCGTATTTTAATCTATTGTTAAACAAAATGTCACTTTGCTGGATGTAGATAAACACTATAAACAATTTTCGTGAAATTTACTTTAATTTGAACAAATCCTGAAAATAAAAACAAACATAACAAATTAAGGAACTAAAGAAGAAATACGGCTTGTTGATATAATCGCTCAACATCTGTCATTTATTTAAATGCATGGAGATGAATAAATTAAGATTGTATGATAAAGTGTTAAAATCTATATTAGTACAGGTTCAACCAAACTGACCCATCAAAAGTAAGACAAAACTAGAAATGTGTCTATAGGACACAGGTGCCCCCATTCATCCAATGCTTCTAGATGCAATTATATGCCTAGACACTACATTTCTGAAGTGCTGAATTTTTTTCCATGTATCTCTCTTTTATTTTGTTATAAAAATGACAAACCCAATGATAAATGAGAGGATAAAAACAAAATGAACCAATAAAGAAAGATAAAAGTTAATCAAAGACGCAAGTGTGTAAAAAGGAATTATTACATAAAATAATGATTTCAGAAAATATTTCTTGTAATAACAGAGTGAAGGTAAAAATAGAAATACAGAATGGTTGATAAAAAATTGATGTATTACCTAGGTACACATGCTCATCAACATTCCTATAAAGTTTTTTGACTAGCTCCAGGGTTTTTTTTAGTTACATGCGGTACAATTATGAAATTGAAAAATTTGACATAATTTTAAGGACCACAACTCTA